CTAGTATTTCCGTGCACGCAAATAACGGCATGTGCATACCCCCCTTCCTAGGCCAGGCCACCGGAGGAGAAAGGTGCCTTTAGAATTGGTGTGTGTGGGACACAGATAGGTGATTAGTGGATTCCTCTGGATATCCTTCGGAGCCCCTCAGTGGCCTGAGGAATAACATATTCTACTCCTCCCTCTTCCCCCACCCCCCAAAATCTTTGGAGAAACCAGACTGTTTGAGAGTTCCTTCTCCCTGGGGAGTCCCATTGGGGCCCCTCCATCTGGAGCCCAGGGAGACTGGAAGTCTTTTCCGCCTCCCTTGGGGCACGTAAAAGAGAGGGTGACTCAGGGGGCAGGGGCACGAGTGGGTAGGTGATTCACTCAGAGTGTCTGGAGGGGGAATGTGGTCTGGCAGCAGAAGAGATTGCAGCATCCTAAGCTGGGCCTCGAGGCTTCCGGGGTGAGGGCGGTGGTGAGGGCTGGCGAGCAAATGGCCCACCTCCCCTCCCAAAGCGGACCTCCGAGCTGCCAGGGGAGGCTGAGGTAAGGCCCTCGCTGGCTAGGGAGCGGTCCTAGGGTCTTCCCTGCTTATGGGAGCAACTGGGTCCCAGTTCCTGCCTCCACGTCTCTCCCAGTGCCCTGCAAGTCACCGGGCAGCCACATGGAGCTGGGTGTCTCGGGCAAGGATCCCCTTGATGGCCTGGTAACCTAACATAGACGAAATCAGGACTCGAGATCTCCCTGGGCAAGAGTGAGTGAGCAAAAGAGTGTGTGTGTGTGGGGGGGGGGGGGGGGAGCACGGGGGCGGTGCTCAATGAAACCAGCTCTCAGCGCGCGCGCGCACACACACACACACACACACACACACACACACGCACCCCAGCTCGGTGTCCTGCCTATTGCTCTGGTTTTGCCCAGCAGACCCAGAAACCTCTCCAGGGCAGGAAGGGTCTTACTTTTGTCCTTGCTGCAGAGTTGTGTCTGCAATAAGGGCAAATTGTGTTGTGCCTGACAGTAATAGCAAGAGGTGACCTCAAAGGAAGCAGCCTGGCTATCCTGAGGGATCGCAGGTGAGCCAGGAGAATCAATGGGGCTTTCATTCCTGGTCCTCTGTGTGCAAGGAGGAGGAGCGGGGAGAGGAGAGACCTGGGGGAGGGTCCTGTGAGCAGGGGTAAGCAGGCACATCAGGTGCATTCGAAGGAAGGACAGGCATACCTTGGGGATATCGCAGGTTTAGTTCCAGACCCCCGCAATCAAGTCAATACCACAATAAAGCGAGCCAGGCGGAAACTTTGGTCCCTCGGGGCATATAAAAGTTACGTTTACGCTATAGTGCAGTCTATTAAGTGTGCAATAGCGTTGTGTCACTGAAAATGCTTTAATACTAAAAAATGCCAAGCATCACCTGAGTCTATTGGGAAAATGGCACTGATAAACTTGCTTGACAAAGGGTGTCACAAACTTGCAATTTGTTAAAAGCACAGTATCTGCAGAGCCCAGGAAAAGGAGGGGTGCCTGCAGAGCCGCCTCCAACCTGGAGGCCAGGGATCAGAGGGAGCCAGAGGCAGGGTCTGGCAGGAGACACAGAGAGAAGTGCCTGGGGACCTGAGGTCTGAGGCTGTGGGTGTGGGGTCTTAAGGATTCTGGCGGGAGGCAGGGCTATACCGGTCACACCCAGGAGGGAGGCCTGGTCTGACCCTGGTTCTTGGCCTTGTCACACTCCGGGGCCCTCTCAGCCACCCTCCTGCCTGGCTCGGCTCCCCACCAGCCTCATTTCACCCTGGGGTAGAGCTTTCTCCAGAACCCTTGTTTGAAGTTCCAAGTCAGCCAGCCCCACCCTCACATGAAATCTGAGCCTGGGGATAAAGCCCTCAGCCTCCCGATGCTCTGAAAATCACTCCCCGCTTCCAACCAGTAGTGAAATATGTCAGATTGACTTCCTACCCATTCTGTAAGGCCCTGCTCCAGCCTGCCTCCTCCAAACCTTCCCAGCCTGCTCTGCTCCCTGTGTCTCCACCGCCACCACCACCACACCCGGCTGCAGAGGGGCGGGAAGCTCCTTGAGACTTTAGGGTCTCTCCCTCCAAGGGAGCACACACACATCTTGGCTGGTGCTGCTGGTTACGTCCCCATGTATTTTCCCCTCCTGGACAGCAAGGTCCTTGAGGGCAGGGGCCATGCCTGATATTTCTCTGTGTCTCCCACAATTTCGAGCCCACGGCCTGACACACAGTAGGCATTCGGTAAATGTAGATCAGTTGAGTGAGTGACAAAAGACAGAGTCAGGGGCACACTCACTTTTCCTGAGAACTAAGCCAATCTGCTCCGAAGAAGAAGAAGAAGAAGAAGAAGAAGAAGAAGAAGAAGAAGAAGAAGAAGAATGGAGAGTGTGGGACACAGAAAACGGAGTAGACAGCCAACATTTATTTAATGCTTATTTATTATTTATTTAGTGTGTGTTAAGCTGCAATAAGTGTTTTATGTATGTTCTCGTATTTACCCCTTATCACCCACTCTGCGGAGAGGTGTCCTGTCAGTTCCAGTTTACAGGTGAGAAAAGTGACGTTTCACAGGTGCTAATTAACACCCCCAAGGTGGTACACCTCACGAGCTGAGGACCCAGGACTGACAGCGAGGTCTGCCCGCCACGCTCTGCCCACTCCGCCTCACGCCCACTCGAGGCCCAGTGAGAAGGATGACAGCTGATTCCGCGGTTTACCCGCAGCCCGGCAGTGGTGGAGGACGAAGGGCGGAGGGATTCGGTTTCTCCTCTTCCCACAGGAAGGGGTTCCTATTCTGCAGCTTACTGTGATCCATCCACCCAAAGAGGAGTCCCCAGGGTCAGGATTACCTGCCCCCTCCCGCCCCTTGTGCCACCCACAGGCACGCCTTGAAGCCCAGGAGCTGTGCCGCTCACTGCCTCTGGCTCTTTGGAGGAAGGCTGAAGTCAGAGGCAGGAAGGCAAGGAAAGGTTCTGCTATCTTGTGCCCCTGTGTGTTCTCTTGTCCCAAGCAGCCTGTGCGGGGTCATCGGATCAGGCAAATAGCCGGGGTGCCTGGCCATCTGGTCACTACTGGGGCAGGACCTCTCTGGGCCTAGCAGGAGTGAAGAGGTTACACAGAGTCTTCATGGACAAAGAACACACACACACATACACACACACACACACAGCCCTGACCTCATCTAATAGCTCTCTCCAGTGTCTATGGCCCGAGAGAGCTGAAATGCAGTTGTCTGAGTTTTCTGGGTTTCCCGCAGCTGGGCCTCGGTGGGAGCTCCTGGCACCCGGGGGTAGAGGTAAGTCCCCTCCTGCCCTTGCTTCTCTGACTTTGACAGCTGTCTCCTCCGCCCCAGAAAGGCTGCTGTGCTGGTGGGGACCCCCGAGACACCCAGGGACCATGATTTCAGAGGACCCCTTGAAAAACCTTCTTCCACTTGTGCTGGGCGGGGGGGCCTCAGGAGACCTGCTCCTTGGAGATGCAGGCCGTCCCAAGCCCGGGACCCAGGAGACAGATGTGCATTCCCAGGGCAGCCCAGACGGCAGACAGGCTGGAAAACATCAATGTCCTAGAGCCAGAGACTAGGGAGAAGTCTCTCTCTCTCTCTCTCTCTCTCTGGCCAGAAAAGTTTCCTGCAGGAGGAAAAGCCTCCTTGGCTGCAGGTTTCTCTCGGGACCCGGCGAGCCTGCCCCCCCAGGAATCCTCTAAGGAAGGACAAGAGGCATCGGCTTCCACGAACGGCCCAAAAGTTCAGTCTTCAAAGTCCCCCAAACTTCCCCTCCCTCTTCCCCTCCTTCTTTTGTTCCCCGCAGCATTGCCAACCAGGCAGCTCCAGCATTCCCACCCCGACCGTCCTGCCCCCACCCGAGCCCCCGGCGGCCCGCGCCTCCCGGCCCGGCCGGGCCCCCCGCCGGCCTCGCGCCCCGCAGGCCGCAGGATGGATGGGGGTCGCCTACCCGCCTTGCAGGGGTCTTTGTAGTTGAGGGGCTCCGCGTCGTCCTCCTCGCCCAGGTCGTAGGTGTAGTCGGCCAGCTCCAGCGGGCGGCCGGGGCGCGGGAGCAGCAGCAGCCCGAGCAGCAGCGGCAGCGGCAGGCGGGCCACGCCGGGCATGCTGGCGGCGGCGGCGGCGGCGGGGCGCGCTCGGTCGGTCGGACGCGGGAGCGGGCGAGGGGAAGCGGAGCGCTGGAGGCGAGGGGGAGGCGCTCCCCTCCCCGCCCGCCCGCCCGCCGCTCTCCCCGCCCGCCGGCTCCCCCCGCGCTCCCCGCGCTCCCCTTCCCTGCGCCCGCCGCCTCCTTCCTGTCCCCCGCCCCTCCGGCCCGCTCCCTCCTCCAGCCTCCCGCCTGCTCCCTTCCCTTCTTTCTCTCCTTCCTTCGCTCCCTCCCTCCCCCCTTTTTTTAGGGAAATGAGCTCGCTGCGGGGCGGGTTTTCGCCCGGAGCCCGGCCCCCTGGGGGCTGGGACCGCGAGCCGCCGGCCGGCCCCGGCCCCGCGCCAGCCCGGGCGGGGAAGGCGAGCCGCGGGCCCTCGCCGGGAAGGGGCTTGGGGGGCCGGGGAAAAGGGGTGCGGGTCGGGGTGCCGGCGGGGACCTCCTCGCCCCCTCCAGCCGCCCTCTAGCGGCGCCTCCCCCGTGCGCGCCCGGCCCGGCCGCTCCCGGTGCGGGACACGTTGTCAGGTCGCTCGCGCCGCCTCTGCCTCGCCGTCCCCGGGTCCCTGCCCCGGCTTCCCAGCCATCGGCTCTCAGCCCCTTCCCGGATCCTCGCCCTGTCTCTCCCATCTCGGTCCCTGTCCCTGGAGTTCTCTCTCGCCCTCCCTCGGGAGACACCACTGGGGGGCGCCGAAAGCCCGCGGATCGCTGGGGGCGGGGTGGGGGGGGGCTCTTCCCCAGCATCCTGGGCCGGGGACTGGGAAAGCCCCCTGTGCTCCCCAAGAAGGCCCTATCCTTCCCCCTGGCCCGCCCCCACCAAGAGAGCAGGACGGGGGCTGTGGGGCCAGAGAGGAGGGACACCATTTATTTCTCAATCGGGCTGCTTTATTCTGTGTGCTAGGTCCCCTGGCCCCTGGCAGCCACCTCTCCTGTAGCTCCTCACTTCAGGGCGGTCCCTAGGGTGTCGCAGGAGCAGCTTCCTGCCTGTTTGTCCAAGACCCTTTGCTCAGGGATCTTTCCTGTCCCTTTTAGGGGGTCCGCAGACTCTGTGAAGCAAAGAAACCCTGTTTACTATGTGAGGGAGAGGGATTGGGGGGAGGGGGGAGATGAGAATGTCTGTGGACCTCCCCTCCCCTGAGTGACGGGCATCAGTGGATCCCCCTGTGCCAGGCCAGCTGACCAGGCAAGGCGGCCCAGCGTTCCTTTGGCACCAGCGGTCCGGGGCTCCGGGGGTCACACCTGCTCACCTGAGGGGCCTAGATGTAGTAGAGGGGCACCTCGCCACACAGGGTGCTCAGGGTGGGGCCCAGGAAGTCCAGGTTCCTGGAGGACTCCGAGCCGGGGTCATGACCCTCCGCCTGGCCCAGCTCCGAGCGGGGCACTGCCGGCTTGACCTGGAAAGAACACCCGATTTGGAGCTGAGTGTGGGAGCTGAGTTGTTGTCTTACTCGAGGTCCTTCATGTGGGACGTCAGGTGTGTCCTGCGATCTCTCTGACCCGTAAAGAGGGGGCTGTACTGAAATCAAACTCCTCCAGCTGGTATGTGGGTTCAGCAGCTGGGTGGTGGGTGGTGTGGCAGGAATGGGGAATCGGTGGGGAAGGTGTGATGCCGGTGAGTCCAGAAAGGGACACTCACCTGGCAGCCTACCAGGAGTCGTGCTTTACATGTGACCAATAGCCACCACCTCAGGCGGTCCTCCCAGCAGTCCTGGGAGGGAGACAGCCTGCCCCTCACCCTCGCACCCACCTGGAGGTTCTGGAGCTTCCTGGCGAGAGCCTCGAGGCTGGGGATGCTCTCTGGGGCCATCTTCATGATGTAGCAGCAGGTTCCCGGGGCTGGCTTGTAGGCAATCAGAAGCTGGGCACAGGACCCCAGAGTTCATTCAGGACTGCCCTGCCTCGCTCACTCTCTAACCTTCCTCCCGGGCCCTCTCCCTCTCGGTGGGGCACAGGCAGGAGCTGTGCTGAAAGCCGGGGTGCAGGCATACTCAGGGGAGGCAAAAAGGCAGGGGGCCGAGGAGAGATGGATTTGTTTGAAGTGTCACAGCTGGGTGGGTCTAGGGGAATCTTGTCATCAGTCCCCCGGGCCCAAGGTCAAGAGGTCCAGCATACCCACCCGCTGGTAGTCATACACCACGATGCCTGTGGAGCCGATGGAGAAGGTGGCGGTGGTGCCGGCGCGCTCACTCAGGGCCAGACGCTGCTGGGCTTCTGACCCCACCATGCTCATCTCCAGGACCTGGGGGAGGGCGTAGTGCTGCCTGGCATCCCTCCTTCCCCACTTTTCTCTTTGGTCCCCGTGTCCATCCCCAGTCCTCTGTGCTCCAGCTAATTCCTTCCTTCCTGACAGCTCCGAGAGGCTGAGGGGTACCAGGTGCTGGAGGGACCAGGCCTCCCACCGTGGGGCAGGGACAGGGGCAGGGGCAGGGGCAGGAGCAGGGGCAGGGGCAGGGGCCTGATGGAAAGGCCCAGGCCAGGTTTGCCACCCTGTTCCTGCCTCTGTCCTCCCATGAGGTGCCCCTTGCCTTCTCCGGTCATTCCTCTTGAGCAGATTGCTATCTGCCCATCCCGCCCTCCCCCCTGCCCCATCCCACCTCTCTCGGACATGCCCTATCCTGGCTGCCACCCTGTCCTGGGCCTGCTCACCATCTCAGTGTGTTTCTGGCTCATGTGAAGACCCATGAGCAGGGCCCCCACAATCACCACGACAACCAGGACCACCACCACGACCACGATGAGGAGGCGTTTGAGGTGCACAGGGCAGCAGGGGATGCGGAACCGGCCCTGGGGGGCTGCGGAGTAGTCCTGGTGTGGCAGGGCAGGGGAGAGGAGACAGGTGTGAAGTCACAAGGATGCCCCCTCTCCTCCCTGCACAGGTCGGACACACCTTCCCACACCCTTCCAGGGCTGGGCCACCAATGCCATGAACGTGGAGAGGAGGGACGAGGAGATCAGAGAAGGCTTCCTGGAGGAGGTGCCCTGGATTCCAATAGACTCATAGACAGTTAAGAAGTGAGGTTTCGCTCGGAGAGACCCAGGAGAGCCTCTTCCCCAGTCGTATCTCCCGCCGCTGTTTCCTTCAAACCCCTGGCACCCCGGGCATACCCAGTCCCTCTCCATTCCCCAAATAACCCCTGTTCCCCCACACCTCCATGCCTTTAGAAATGCCACCCTTCCTCCCGCAGTGCCTTCCTCCCTCCACACCTGGGAGCTCCTACTGATTCTGGAGCCAGCTCCAACGCCATTTTCTCGGTGGAGCCTCGGGTGACTCCTCCCTACTCAGGGTCCTCTTCAGCTCTTTGCACTTACATTGGAATCACTAGCTGCCACGTCTGTCTCCCCCAGGGAACTCTGTCTTTAGTGGTTGACGTCCCTGCCCTCACTTAGCACAGTTCGAGCTTGACTGGGTACATGAATTTGGATGAGGAGACGGGTTGGAGGTGGCAGGGCCCACCACCTACATGCACCCACCCACACATGATCACACTCACCGGCGGGCTCTCCATCAAGACCTCTTTGCTGCCCACATCCATCTTGCCGCAGGCGCCTTCCCCTCCTCGACGCCCAGATGGGACCAGGGTCTTATATGTGCGGCAGGGAGAGGGGACAGAGGTGAAGGACCGGCCCTTGTCTGCCAGCCAAGTCCTTGGCTTTGAAGCCTGTTTGTTCCTGGCTCTCCAGCACCAAGGCCCGATAAGCCAGCTGCGAGAGCGCCCAAGGGCCCTTGGCCCTGGCACATGAGTCCTCTTGGCCCAGCAAGAGCAAAGCTGGGTGAGCTGAGCAAACTTGCCCTTGGGCAGTCTGTGCCTCTCACGATGGGTGTCTTCCTTGGCCTGCCCGCCTCTCTAGCTGGCACCTGCCCTTGAGGTCCTCACTGTTCCCCTGCCAGCCTGAACCGCTCAGGAAACCAAGAGTCTGCCACATGGGGAGTCCATCACCTTCCGCAACAGAATTCCCCCCCCCAGCGGGGATGAGCTCCAGGGTGGGGAGCGAGAAGAAGGTGCCTGTGGACCCAGAGGGGACATCACTCATGAATGGTTCATAAATTTTCTCAGAGAGTCAGATTTTCACGTGAAATACTCTACGTGCCTTCCTGTCACCCACACTTCTGCTCCTAACCTCAGACTTGCCCCTACCCATTCTTTTCCAAATTCTGAATACTCTGTCTCCTCCAGTGACAAATGCTTATGTACTAACCTGAAGATTTTCTTCTTTTTTTGTAAAAAAAATATATTTTATTGATTTTTTTACAGAGAGGAAGGGAGAGGGATAGAGAGTTAGAAACATCGATGAGAGAGAAACATTGCTCAGCTGCCTCCTGCACATCCCCCAATGGGGATGTGCCTGCAACCAAGGTACATGCCCTTGACCGGAATCGAACCCGGGATCCCTTGGTCCACAGGCTGACACTCTACCCACTGAGCCAAACCGGCCAGGGCTAACCTGAGGATTTTCAGTCTTTCCTATGGGTTAGTTTGTAAGCTGAAGGCTCTCCCCTCACCCCTGCTCCACCGTTTTTATTTTATTTACATTTATTTTATGCTAAATGTATTCCTGGGTCATAAGTTTTTGTTTCTTCAATTTCTTCCAGGATGTCTTTTTTTATTCTGTGCAACCTCCTCTTGCGGGTCAGGGCCAGCTGCTCGTTTGCAGTAAGCTCATCTCACTGTGGCAGGGGGAGCTCCCCTCGGGGTTCCTCTGCCCAGGAGCTCTGTGAGGTCTGCACCCCCTCTTGGGGGCTTTGTTCACCTAGATGTGCTCAATGACCAGAGAACCTACTTCAAAACCCTGCAGTTCAGCATCACTCTCTTCAGTTTTAAGCTTGTGCAATCATAACTCAGTACTCCTTTTGGGCCACTGACCCTGTGTCCAGCCCACTGTTTGGATTGGGCACACCTACCTACTCCAACACCGAAACCATGGAATGGCACGCACTGCTTCTGTCAAGTGTTATCCTTCAGACACTTGATGGCTTTGTGGGTATCCATACCCTTCTTGATGGTGGGAGTGGTTCCGTGAGCATTTTAAAAGTGAGCATGAATCCCTGGCCGGGTGGCTCAGTTGGTGGGCGCGTCATCCCATACACCAAAGAAGTTGTGGGTTCGATTCCTGGTCGGAGCACATACCTAGGTTTCAGATTTGATCCCTGTTGGGGAACGTATGATGGATCGATGTTTCTCTTTCCCTCTCTCTCTGTCTGCCTCCTCTCTCCCCATCTCCCTTCCTCTCTAGCTAGAATCAATAAAAATGTATCTTCGGGTGAGGATTTAAAAAGGTGACCATGGAGATGTGAACCTTTCAATCTGTGTGATTTAGTGGGGTCTTCTGTGTCAAGTGAATGTCGAGCCATTGTCATAGATCCAGCTGAAGGCTTCCGACAGCGGATTCCAGGCCTGACACTGTCTTCTTCCGCCCAGACAGGCGTGCACAGGCTGGGTGTGGTGGCTGAGGGACTCGGTCTCCTCATCCTCGCATCAGCCCATTTCTTGGTGCTGCTATCACCCTTCCTGCACTCTTTTTTAAAAATATATTTTATTGATTTTTTACAGAGAGGAGGGGAGAGGTATAGAGAGTTAGAAACATCAATGAGAGAGAAACATCGATCAGCTGCTTCCTACACATCCTCTACTGGGGATATGCTTGCAACCAAGGTACATGCCCTTGACAGGAATCAAGCCTGGGACCCTTCAGTCTGCAGGCCAACACTTTATTCACTGAGCCAAACTGGTTAGGGCCCTGCACTCTTTATATCTTCTGATCCTAAATCTGCCCTGAGAACATTTCTCGCTCAAATGGGATTCACTCTGTGGACCTTCCTCGTCTAACTTTCTTTATCTCTTGTTTCCTATTCTTTTCCCCAAAGCCATCTCTGTTGCTTCCTTGTGCTAAAACAAGTCTACTAATGGTGGCTGTTAGGGTCACCAAAGGAGGAACGCACGAGGCCAAAAGGGGTAAAGAATTATGAATGATTTAGGTCATTGGGATACCAGATGGGCTGAGCCCCCAAATGGTGCCAGCCCCCAAAGACTGGGAGTCAGAGGTTTTTAAAGGACTCTAGGTGGGCTTTTTCTGGGCTGAGAATTCTCTGTGCAGTTCCGGGTTCTAGAAAACTCTGGAGGGGAGAGGTCATGGTCTTAGCAAGTGGAATGTGGTCTAAGCAAGTGGAATGTCCATGGTGAAGTGGCCTAAAGGTCAGTTCCCAGGGGAGGGGGGTATCGATTTTATTCTTTGATCAGACCTAACGTTGGCATCCTTTCTCTCAGGTTGCCCTCTGCTGGCTGGGCCAGGGGCGCCCTAAGGCGCCTTCACCTCTAAACTTTCATGAGTGTGTGAGTCTGAGCCCACACCTTGCTCCTCTCTTGGTCTCTCCCCCTTATCTTCCTTGTAATGTAACTCCAATAGTTCACCCCAACTTCTGACCTTTGCCTGGGGGCTTCCTCACACTTGGCCCTGCTGTTTGATCAGGAGCAGACTTCCAACTCTCCAGCCCTGGCAGGTTCCCTGTCTCCACAAGGGCCTCCACTTCCCCTCGGGGGCCTTTAGCCTGCTGGTTGCACAACAGCATGGCATCTGAGCTGAGAGCCCCTGAGAAGCTGGGGCAGGAGGAAGAGAGAAGGAAGGAAGTGTTTGCTCCCACCACCCTCCTCACCCCCCAACTACTCCTTTAAATATTTGCCTAAGCCTCTAGCAGCAAGTGTCCTAGGAGGCAAGAAAGAGGGGGAGGGGGACTGAGGGGAGGAGGAGGATCCTCTCGACTGTGTGAGGCCTCAGCTGTGTGTGCAGGTGCCAGATGCAGGAGACAGCTGCCTGCAGTGCCCACCCCTGCCCACCCCCCGGGCCCCTGCTCCCATCCCCAGTTGTCCTGGCAACACCGGGATTGATGGGCCGACTCATGCATACTGGGCTGATGCCAGGTGGGCAGTGGGCCAGCGGGAGAGCCAAGGATAACTGCAAGCATCTTGGGGTCCCTGTGGGCATCTCTGGGGGCTGCCTAGCCCAGCTTTGGGGCTTGTGCTGAGCAGGTGCTGTGTGTAGGGCTTGCTCTTATCCCTGGATCAGGGAACCAGGGCTCTTTCTTGGAGAGAAGCCTCTGCTCTTGGGGCCTCAAGTCTCCCCTGCAGGCTGCCCTCAGGCTGTACTTCCCATAAGCTTTATGGCTTTTCCCTTCTTTTTCTCTCTCTGGGTTACTTATTTTTTCCTATTTGGCGGTTGGTAAGGAAAGATGCCCTCCAGTTTCATGAGGCAAGTTCTGGTGCTGGCACCAACTGGATGGAGCTCTTAGGAACCTTGGAGAAGGAAGGAGGGAGCTTTAGTGGCATAGCTGTTCCCTTGCCTCACTCCCCGTCCCTCACCCCAGCCTTCTGCTGTGGCCTTCTTATCTCTTGGCCTCTCCTTAGGCTGTTTCTCCTGGAAATATCACCCTCATTGCCTCTCTAACTCTCTGAATACCGCCCACCCTAAAAGGCCAAGGGAGCCGAAGCCGGTTTGGCTCAGTGATAGAGCGTCGGTCTGCGGACTGAAAGGTCCCAGGTTCGATTCCGGTCAAGGGCATGTACGTTGGTTGTGGGCATATCCCCGGTAAGGGATGTGCAAGAGGTAGCTGGTCGATGTTTCTCTCTCATCGACATTTCTAGCTCTCTATCTCTCTCCCTTCCTCTCTGTAAAAAATCAATAAAATATATTTAAAATAAATAAATAAATAAATAAATAAATAAAAAATAAAAGGCTAAGCGAGAAGCAATGGCACCCACACTGTGACCTCACCGCTCCAGCCCATGGCGCCTCCCTCCTCCCTCCTCCTCCTCCTCCTCCTCCAAAACCTCCCAGCCTCCCCACTGCACATTCACTTGCCCTTAGCACGCACTGCTGTTGTCACCAGCTGCGCACCGATGTTCTCACCAGCTGAGTGGGTGCCTTTATCTCCCAGCCTGGCTGCCAGCCATGTGACCAGCCCTGAGATCTGGTGTTCCTGAAGCTTCCTTGTACCTGCTCCAGGACAAGCCGGGAGCAGGCACTCAGCCAACAGCCAATGACAAGACTGTCCTCACCAAAGGCGAGGGGGTTCCTGGCAGGAGGTCAGTAGTTCATTCCTTCAGTGTGCGAAGGTCTCAGTGCCTCACGGACCAGCTCTCAGACCCTGAATGAGATGTTCTGTCTTCCTAGACTTTAGGGTGCTCATCTGTGCAACGGGACTAGTTCGCCTGTCCTGTCCCCCTCACCCCGCTGGTGTGAGAATACAGTGACACCATGGTGAGAAAATCCAATCCATTACCATTATCTTTACCTCCCAGGGAGCCTCTTCTCAGGCCCCCCCCCCCCTTTCTGTGTGTCTCTGGGGTAAAGCCTCCGAGGCGGTGAGAGTGGAGAGCCCCATGGCATCCTCTCTCCCTCTCTCTCTCTCTCTCTCTCTCTCTCTCTCTCTCTCTCTGTCTCCCTTTTCCCTCCTTCTAGCCGCTCAGCTGCAGGGGCAGAGCAGGATTCACTCTGCTCTTTGTGTCCTGAGCAGAGCCGTGCCAGGGACAAGCAGGGGTGGTTGCCCAGCTGCCCCAGCCATCCTCCCCACCCCCATTGCTTGTCTTCCCAGAGCTGGCATGGGGAGGGCAGCACGGGCAGCTGGACAAGCAGTGGCAAGTGGGCCTCCAAGGGCAGGGGCAACCCTGGCATGGACTTAAGCTCAGACCAGACAATCCCCTGCTGGCAGAGGCTGCGGACAGCGGGGAAGCATCTTAAACCCAGTGATCTGATATGGAAAGAGCAGACTGGGAGCCCCGTCACCTGACTTCCAGGATCCCCTTGTCCTGTACCTGGGAGGTCTGGGGACAGTCACCCCCAACATCACCACGTACACACACCCCTGAGAGGTACTGTGGTATAGAGCAGCAGTTCTCAATTTTTTTTGTTTTTGTTTTTTTTTGTTTCGGGATCCCTTAACACTCTTCAAGAGTATTGAGGACCCCAAAGAGCATTCGTGTATGTGGGTTATATGTGTGGATATTTACCATATTGATATTTTAAAAATATATTTTATTGATTTTTTTTTTTTTTTTTTACAGAGAGAAAGGGAGAGGGATAGAGAGTTAGAAACATTGATCAGCTGCCTACTGCACACCCTTTACTGGGGATGTGCCCACAACCAAGGTACATGCCCTTGTCAGGAACCAAACCTGGGACCCTTGAGTCCACAGGCCAACACTCTGTCCACTGAGCCAAACCAGTTAGGGCTACCATATTGATATTTAGTGGGACATTTAAAAATACTTACTAATGAATTAAATTAAAATACCAATAATAAATCCATTATATGTTATAACATAAATAACAAAATTTTAAATGAAGTTAACCATTTTATAAAGCAATATATATATATATATATATATATATATATAGAGAGAGAGAGAGAGAGAGAGAGAGTGAGAGAGAGAGAGAAGTGTCATTATTTTACATTTTTATAAATGTCTTTCATTTCTGGCTTTGTAGAAGATACATCAGTATCTTTGGAAAACCCCAGGGCACTTTGGGAGAGCATGAAGGTGAAAAGGGCAAATCATGTCTTAACATTAGTAGGAGAATTGTTTTGACCTCAACCAGCCCCTGAAAGGTTCTCAGGGGCCCTGGGCCACCTGGATCACCCCTGGAACGGAAGAGTGACCGTGAACTCTGGAGCTGGGCAGAACTGGTTAAACCCCTGCTCTGTCGCCTTCTTCTCCTGGTACGGGGCGCCTCAGTTTCTCTATCTGTCAAAGGGGACTCCTAGCAGCTATCTCGGAAGGTGGAGAGGGTTCAGTAAGTAGAGAATACAACACACTTTCCTCCTTTGGAGGGCCTCGGTTTCCTCATTTGTGACACAAAGCCCTGGACTGGAAAACTTCCAAGAGCCTCCCAGCTCCAACAGGCTGTGGTTGTGTAGGGAGAAATGTTCCAGAATTCCACACATTCCCACGCCAGTCCCGTGACGACATTCCCCTTCAGCTCACACAGACACAAAGGCACATTCTGTGCACGAGCTGTGGAACTCTTGTGAACAACACAACACACGCCTGTCACCTGTGACATGCCCAGGACTCTGCGGAGAGGATGTGCCACGGAGGGCCAAGGCCCACACCAGGGACACCGGGGCACACGGCTCCCTCTGCGGAAATGCTCCCAGGGGGACCCGTGCTCGTGCCTGCAGGGACAGGTGTGCACACACGCACAGTCATGCCGTCCTGGGATATATCCATGGACACCTCGCACGCATGCCGTGGCGCCCTGGGTACCAGACACAAGCAGATGGCCCAGGGAGAGCCAGCAGGGGATGCAGCACAAAGCAGCCAGGGCCGCAACCACTCCCTGCTCTGGCTGCTCCCAGCCGGACTCCCCCTCCGCCCTGCGCGCCCCCGCCGCCGCCGCCGCAGTCCGCGGCCGCCACAGCGCCTGCAGGTCCGCTCTGCGCGCATCCATCGGAGTTGATTCCCGGGAGCGAGCGAGCGGGGCTGGGGGAGTCCGCTCCGCGCAGCGGCAGACCGGCCCCTCGCTGCCAGGTGGATCCAGCCCGCAGGGTGACAGAGAGCGGCGGGGCAGAGCAGCCGGTGGCCGGAGGCAGAGCTTGCAGGCAGCATGGCGGGGCTGCGCCTCAGGCGGGGCTCCGGGCTCAGGCTGCTGGCGCTGTCCGCGCTCGGATGCTGCCTGATGCTGCAAGTCACTGCCAAGAGGCCTCCCAAAGCGCCCCCCTGCCCACCCAGCTGCTCTTGCACCAGGGACACGGCCTTCTGCGTGGACTCTAAGGCAGTGCCCAGGAACCTGCCGGCCGAGGTCATCTCTCTGTGAGTGCCAAGCCCTGACCCAGGGGGTGGCGAGCCAGGAGGGGGAGGAGGGCAAGGACCACGCTGGGAGTGGATGGGGAGGACCCCATTCCCCCTCTGCAGAGTATGGGAACCAGGAGGACTCCAGGGTAAGTAACCTCGGGACAGGAGACTCAGGTATCAGCCAGGCAGGGACTTCTGCAGTCACGCAGGCTCAGCAGCCATGGCTGGGGAAAACAGGACTTCGTGGCCAAGAATGAATCATCACCACCAGCAGCATCAATGAGACCTACTGTGCGCAGGGCTCTGGACTTGGAGGGAGGGGGTGTTGCCTGCCCCAGATTGTGGGCCATTGCCTGTGATGTCACATCAAGGGCAGAAAGGCTTCTAGTGGGGGGGGGGGGGAAGCAGCAGGGAGGGGTGGGAGGGAGATACACCCACCCCGCACCTTGGCACGGGGCAGATGCCTCTCACTGGTCTCGCCAGCCACTCTGCACCCGGCCAGTCAGACACTTGCAGCAGCGGCCTCCTGGACCAGATGGGCTGTGCGGTCCTTGAGAGCAGGATGCTAATCCCCATTCCCATTCGAGGGCCCCATGGCTCGAGAGCACCCAGCACACTGTGGGTGTTCGGGCGCTCATGAGAGTGTGGCTAGTGGAACCTCCTTTTGGCTGAGGGGGATCTAAGCCTGGGGCCACGGGTGCTCAGGGGGGCAGTTGGGGAGGCAGTGAAGAAGGCAGGCAGTGAGAAGGGGGAGACGGCCTCGGGTGGGGGACTGACTCAGGTGTCCCCTGCAGGACGCTGGTGAACGCTGCCTTCTCGGAGATCCAGGACGGAGCATTTTCCCACCTGCCGCTGCTGCAGTTCCTGTATGGACCGGGCCTTGTGGGAGGCGGGGGTGGCTTGGGGAGGGGCCGTGGGAGGGAACAGGCAGATTCTGGGCTGGGGAGAGCCCATGTGTTTAGCCTTTGGAAATTAAGATGCAGGCGTCCCTACTTTTGCCCAGATGGACATGCCCCAAGAGGTGGAGCTGTCTGGGGTCATGAGGGTGGAGGAGCAGTGGTTGGGGAGGAGGGTTGGGGTTGCATGCAAAAGCCAAGATGTGGGCCTTTAGGGCCCAGCTAGGAATGGACTTGTCTTTAGAGACTTAAAGGAACTGGGTGCAATAAATTAGGTGGGTGCCGGAAAGCGAACACTGCAGGGGAGAAGGGTCATCTTAGAGACACGTGACCCTAGGGTTTGAGGAAAGAGCTGGTGAGCTGAACGGAGGGAAGGCTAGAGAGCATGTAAAAGGGTTGTTTACATGAAGCTCTAGTCACATGAGAGGGTTGCCCCACCTCCCTCTCACCATCCGCCCTAGAGGACTGGACCGAGCCTGGCTGAGAGTGGGACACAGAGCAGAGATGCTGAGGGGAGGGGGGGGGGGGCGGGTGTAGATCCAGCTTGCCAGGAAAGATCAGCCCTGGCTGTTTTTACCCCGAGAGCCTTCAGGGACCCTGGGAGTTTCTGGGACGAGAACAGCTCTTGCCTGGTCTTGCTGCCTAGGCTGCTCTGGGGCTCTCTGCTGGGGTCCCTGGGGCAGGAGGCAGGGCAGCCAGGCCTTGAGAAGCCCAGGGGTGAGGCAGCAGGCACACCCTCGGAAGCTCTAACTCTGCCTTTGTCTCTCCAGGTTACTCAATTCCAACAAGTTTACACTGATCGGAGACAACGCCTTCACAGGACTGTCGCACCTGCAGTACCTGTGTGTGGGAAGGAAAGGGAAATGGAGGGTCGAAGGGAGGATGGATGGGAAGGGCTTGGGTGGGCTCGGAGGAGAGGTTGAAGGAGGAAGGCTGGGGGCATTGAGAGCCCTTGAATCCGCTGACTGCAGGACTGAGCAGAGCAGAGGTCACTTCCTCCATCCCTCTGCCTGAATCGCCCTGCCTGGATGCTTTGTCACCACCGGCTTCATGTCTCCACATTAGGCATAAAAGCCTGTCTGAGGGCCGTGGGCTGGCATCTGGGCATGGTGTAGGGAAGTAGGTGGTGGCGGTGGGTGGGGGCCGGGGGCCCTGAGTGATGGTTGAGACTGTTCTCATCTCCTCCAGCTTCATTGAGAACAACGACATCTGGGCACTATCCAAGTTTACTTTCCGAGGACTCAAGTCTTTAACACACCTGTGAGTACATCCCACACTTACCTTCATTCATCGGACCACAACCCACTCCCTTACCCCCCCCCCCCCCCCCACACACACCCATCTCTCTCTCTCATGGCCTTTGGCCTCAGTCACCATCTTCAGGTGACCCACGGCTCTCTCTTGCAGCTCATTGGCCAACAATAACCTGCAGACGCTGCCTAGAGACATCTTCCGGCCCCTGGACATCCTGAGCGACTTGTAAGGCCTGAGTCCTAGCTCTCCCAACAGTGCCACAGGGGGGCGAGTACCCGGAGGGAGTGGTGTGGAGCCAGCATTGGGAAGATCATAAAGTCTTGAGAAGCTAGGAGGGCTTGGTTTGCAGGGGGAAGGGGTGTGGGGTGTGGGGAAGGCCTGAGCAGCTGAGAGCCTGTCCTCCCTTTGCCCATCACCCTAACGACCAGGGACCTGCGGGGCAACTCGCTCAACTGCGACTGCAAGGTGAAGTGGCTGGTGGAGTGGCTGGCGCACACCAACACCACGGTAGCCCCCATCTACTGCGCCAGCCCGCCCCGCTTCCAGGAGCACAAGGTGCAGGATTTGCCCCTGCGGGAGTTCGACTGCGTCACCACAGGTAGGAGGTGCCCCTGCCTTCAGCCTCAGGCTGCGCCTCCCCAAGGGAGCTCCGCAGGCATCACCTGAACCCCCAACTCCCTGCCTTGCTCACTGTGCGACCCTTATGATCCAACAAACGCTCTCTCTTCCCCACCCCGATCCCTGCAGACTTCGTGCTGTACCAGACCCTGTCCTTCCCAGCAGTGTCAGCTGAGCCCTTCTTTTACTCCAGCGACCTCTACGTGGCCCTGGCCCAGCCCGGGGCCAGCGCTTGCACTGTCCTCAAGTGGGACTATGTTGAACGGCAGCTTCGAGATTATGACAGAATCCCAGGTACCTGTGCCCAGCCTGGCTGTGCTGGCCCCAGCTGGGGGGAGCAGAGGTGTGGGCTGGAGGCCCCATTGTTCTTCTCCATTGAGTTCCTATAGGGAGAGAGATAGATGAGGCATGGCCTCGGCTCATACGAATGTTCTAGTCTTTGGAGGGAGGCTGATACATACACAGATAATATTTATATAATATGGACTGAGGCCGGTGCTAAGAGGAAGATATGAACACCATGCATTGGGAACACCAAGGAGAGACTTACCCTGGACAATCAAGGAAAGCTTCCTGGCAGAGGGGATGCCTACACTGAGTTTTGAAGGACGAGGGAGAGGGAGGAGTCAGAGGTGGTGCCCAGGTATCTGGCTTAAGTAAGTGGGTAGTGCCAATGAACTAAAAAGGAGGAGATACTGCCAAAACCAGTTTGGCTCAGTGGTAGAGCGTTGGTCTGTGGACTGAAAGGTCCCGGGTTTGATTCCAGTCAAGGGCATGTACCTTGGTTGCGGGCACATCCCTGGAAGGGGGTGTGCAAGAGGCAGCTGGTCAATGTTTCTCTCTCATCGACGTTTCTAGCTCTTTATCCCTCTCCCTTCTTCTCTGTAAAATATCAATAAAAGTATTTAAAAATAAAATAAAATAAAATAAAATAAAAAGGAGGAGATACTGAGTTTAAACTGAGTCTAGAATGCTGAGGGAGACTAAACGAGGAGGAAAAACGTGGGGAGGATGTTCTAGTAGACGGAAGAGCATGAGCAAAGTCAAGATGTACTACAGCTCATTGTGTGAGGGCGGGCTGATATAAGCAGCTTATATGACTGCAGCATAAGGTTCAAGGTGGACAGTGGCAGTCCCGAGAGAGATGAGGACAAGGATATTGATGAGCTTTGAGAAAGTGTGTGAGCCAATCCAATCTATATTTTAGACAACTGTCTGTGAGCATTGTGGAGAGTGGCTAGGCATGGGAGAAAACATGGAGGAGGATCAGCTGGAGCTTGGACTGAGGCAGCAGCCGTGTCTCGGTTATATTTAACTGAGGATTATAAAAAAGAGGATTGAACTGACACAAGAGGAAACAGAAAATTTAAATTGCCCTATATCTATGAAAGAACTTGCAGTCATTATGAAAAAACAAAAAACAAAACACCTCCCCCCCAACACAAGATCAAAATGGTTTCCCTGGTGAATCCTAGCAAACACTTAGGGAAGAAATAACACTAATCTTACACAAATTGTACTAGAAAGCAGAAAGGAGTGTTGACAGAACTTGGGAATTGATCAGGTGTGTGTGAATGAGGAACAAGGAAGTGTTGGGGAGTGGCTCCCAGGTTTCTGGTTGGGGTGACTAGGTGAAGCCACAAATTGACATCAAGAACACAGAAGGAGCTGAAACCCGTTTGGCTCAGTAATAGAGCATCAGCCTGTGGACTGAAAGGTCCCAGGTTCGATTCCGGTCAAGGGGTGCACCTTAGTTGCAGGCACATCCCCAGTAGGGTGTGTGCAGGAGGCAGCTGATTGATATCTCTATCTTTCTCCCTTCCTCTCTGTAAAAAAATCAATAAAATTTTTAAAAGAAGAAGAACACAGAAGGAGGAGGAGGAACAGGTTTAGGGGTAGATGTGGAGCTCATTTTTGGCCAACTGGCATTTGAGGTGCTTGAGGGAGTTTGGGCAAAGAGTCTGAGCTGAGGTGGCTCAGGAGCGGGTGGTGAGGAGCTGGGTGGGCAGACAAAGGCTGTAAGAGGGACTCAGTAACTGCCAGAGCCTGAGGCTCAGCCTGGGCTTCCCTTAGGGAGAGGTGGAGTGCTGGGGGAGAGTGCGTGAAAGCAGGTGGGGAGCGCGGCCCATCTGCTTTGGGTGCCTGGGAAGGTGTCGAATCAGCCTGGTTGAGCACAAGTACATTTGTGCTCATACATAAAAGCTTTCAAAAAGTGGGAGTTCTTGGGAGAATGTTCTTGAGCTATGGATGAGTTCAAACTCCCCCTCCCTCCTCAGCCTCTTGCCAGCGGGTGGCTTCGAACAAGTCAGACAGTGAGCCTCAGTTTCTTTCTGTGTGAAATGGCAAAATGGGTGCATTTCAGAGTGTTCACACTTAGCACAGTGACTGTACACAATATAGATTCAATAACTGACACAACGGTTAAACAGCCCATCAATATCTAGGAATGCCTGTTTTGTGCTCCGTGTTAGTATGTATTTGAACTCGGGGGTCAAGAATGGATGGAGCTGGAACTGGTTTGGCTCAATGGATAGAGCGTCGGCTTGGGGACTGAAAGGTCCCGGGTTTGATTCTGACCAAGGGCATGTACCTTGGTTGTGGGCCTATCCCCAGTAGGGGGTGTGCAAGAGGCAGCTGATCGATGACTCTCTCTCATCGATGTTTCTAACTCTCTCTCTTCCTTCCTCTTTGAACAAAATCAATAATATATATATTTTTTTAAAAGAAGAAAATAATTTTAAAAAAAAGAGTACATGGAGGGTGATGCTGACACCAACTGTGTTAGCTGTGAGGCGACAAGAGGAGCTTCAGTGGGAGGGACCGCTGTAGCAGAGGGCCTTGGCCTTGGCCGAGGCCGGTGGGGACTGACCCCCTTTTCTGAGGCTGGGCAGGGGCACGAAGCTCCCTGTATTGCCTGACGCTGCTTCCCTGTGTCCCGGCAGCTCCCTCAGCCGTGCACTGCAAGCCCATGGTGGTGGACAGCCAGCTGTACGTGGTGGTGGCCCAGCTGTTTGGCGGCTCCTACATTTACCACTGGGACCCCAACACCACGCGCTTCACCAAGCTGCAGGACATCGACCCGCAGCGTGTGCGCAAGCCCAACGACCTGGAGGCCTTTCGCATCGACGGCGACTGGTACTTTGCCGTGGCCGACAGCTCCAAGGCGGGCGCCACCAGCCTCTACCGCTGGCACCAGAACGGCTTCTACTCCCACCAGGCCCTGCATGCCTGGCACCGCGATACCGACCTGGAGTTTGTGGACGGTGAGGGCAAGCCCCGGCTGATCGTGTCCAGCAGCTCCCAGGCGCCAGTCATCTATCAGTGGAGTCGCAACCAGAAGCAGTTCGTGGCCCAGGGGGAGGTGACGCAGGTGCCCGATGCCCAGGCTGTGAAACACTTCCGTGCCGGGCGCGACAGCTACCTGTGCCTCAGCCGCTACATCGGGGACTCCAAGATCCTGCGCTGGGAGGGCACCCGCTTCTCGGAGGTGCAGGCCCTGCCCTCCCGCGGCTCCATGGCCCTGCAGCCCTTCCTCGTCGGTGGCCGCCGCTACCTGGCGCTGGGCAGCGACTTCTCCTTCACCCAGATCTACCAGTGGGATGAGGGGCGGGAGAAGTTCGTGCGGTTCCAGGAGCTGGCTGTGCAGGCCCCTCGGGCCTTCTGCTACATGCTTGCCGGGGACGCCCAGCTGCTCCTGGCCCCCAGCTTCAAGGGACAGACGCTTGTGTACCGACACGTCGTGGTGGATCTTAGTGCCTAGCGGGGTGCCGAGGCCCCTGGATTGGGGGCTGAGGAAAGGGAGGGGGGCGGTCTGTGTGAGCAACGTGGGTGCCTGGCTGTGTGGAGACACGTGTAGCTAACCTCCTGCACACACACTCCTGGTGAGCACGGGCACCACACGGACTGGCCCCGGGAGCCGGTCATCATCGTCATTAGCATGGGGACTTGTATATGCACCTGGCAAGCCAGTTACCGGGACCCTCCTGTCTGTGGGCACCTGTGGGTCCCACACCCCATCGGCAGGCCCCGCTGGATCTGCTGCCTTCCGCAAGCTCTGGCGTGGGGAGGGGGAGGGATGCTGGAAGGGAGGGTCTTGGGCTGATGCGTCTGACCCTCTGGTCTCCCCTGTTGGTGCTCCAGGGGCCTGCTTAACCTGCTCACACCCCACATTGCAGCCACAGCGACACCCTTTCCACTGCGGGCACACTCCCGCGCCCTCCCCTCCTCCTGCACGTACATGTGGGGTCTGGCCCACACCCTCAGCCACACGCACACACGCCTGTCCACACCCCTGTCTCCCTGTGCACACATGCAGATCCAGCTCTGCCCAAAGGAACCCGGCCCGCCTCCATTACCTCCTCTCCTCTTGGAGAGGGCACACGACCGCCCTCTGCTCATCGCTGGTAAGGATGGGAGGGCCCCAGCTTGACCTCCTGGGGGGCAAAGCCCCTCTGCCCAAAGCAATAACAACAGCAACCCTAGCAAACCCTGACTCTGGCTCTTTTCTCACTGGGGTTTTCTTCTCTGACCCTGTCCCCACGGAGGGCAGACTTCCCAGACAGAAGCCTTCCTGCTTTTCTTTCCTGTAGCTGCCCCAGCCTCAGACACCCACCCTGCCCCACGTTCAGCCCCTCCTTTGCAGGACGCGGACCCTGAGCTGTGCTGGACCCTTTGTCTAAGACCCAGAGCTGGCCAGGCCAGCGACCCTGCAAGCACTCCAATCATCTGGGCAGGTTCCGGGAGTAGAGCCGGGCTGGAGAGCATCTTGGGGGCTCTGGCCACAGATGCACACGCCAGGGGCACTGCCTTTCAGGGCAAACTGGGTGGTAGAGGTCTGAGGGCCTGCCCAGTGGTGTGGCACCTGGGAGCCAAGCTTCTGCTGCCCCCTGCTGTGTGCTGGGGATAGAGCTGTGAGGCAGTGTGCTGGGGATAGACGGTAGGGGGCGGTGGAGAAAGCACGGGGAGGGGCTGCTGGTGGCAGGATGCCAGGGCTGGGGGATACTTGGGGCAATGCTAGAATACACTTGCTTTAAATAAAAAGTTCCCACCCCATGGCCAGCTTCCAGGTGTCAGCGGCAACGGTCAGCAGCAGCTGTTTCATCAAGAACATAGCATGTTGTCTGCCCCTCCTGCTCGCAGGGGCCGGGGTCCGCTTTCAGACCCTCTCCCTCCCCTCTGACAAATGAGTGGGTACCCCCACAGTCTGCTGATGCTGGGGTCAGGGGCTCCGGTGCTGGGTGAGTGTGACCGGTCTCCACCACCTGGGGCTGACTCATGGCCCTGAGTGCTCCTTCCTGGAGATCACAGTCTTGGGGTCACGGGAGTCTGTCCCTCTGTCAGGTGAATTCCAATCAACATGACCGAAAACAAGCTCAGCAGTCCCTCCCCTCCCCTCCTCATGCCCTCTGGGCAAGTGTCTGTCATCACTGCCACCCTCTGCCCTCAGTGCGAGATTTCAAGCAAGTGGGCTGGTTTCCTGGAGCCTGAGCTGCTTCTGCAACACAGACCATAAACCTGACTTTGTCCAGTCCCGATTTGGCCACTAACCAGCTCGGTGACCTCAACCACGTCACTCAGCCTATTTGTCTTTGTCTCCTTATCTGTAAAGTGGGGACGGTCAGACCTACCTGACAGGGTTCGTGTGAAGTGTAACTGCTCTCAATATGCACTGAGTAGCCAGATTATTATGATCTCTAAATGCATAATAATCTGGCCACTCAGTGTATATTCTATATAATAAAAGGCTAATATGAAAATTGTCTTCTCAACCAGGAGTCCGACCAGCAGGCAGGCCAGCCAACCACCCATGACCCCTCCCCCTGGCCAGGCTGGCCAGACCCCACCCATGCATGAATTCATGCACCTGGCCCCTCTAATGCTCTAATTCACATGTGTCAAACACAAGGCCCGCGGGCCAAATCCGTCCCGCCAGGCCTTGCAATGTGGCCCGCACCGCGCTGTCATCACCGCACTCCGCTGCGTTTCCATCACAATGACAGTTTATGACTGTTCAGTAAACCATTCGGCCCGCGATTTAGGCTGGATTTTAGATTTTGGCCCCTTCTCTGATTGAGTTCGACACCCCTACTCTAATTGGAGGGCCAGATTATTATGCATTCAGAGATCAAAATAATCTGGCCACTCAGTGTATAGTCTATTAATACATGCAAGGCCCTTCAAACAGTGTGTCTGTCGCAGAAGTATAATTTTATTGGCCTGTAGGACTGTGTGAGACTCAGGTGGCTCAGAGAGGCTGCTTTGTGGGAGGAGAAAAGCGTGCCTTTTGGAGAGAACTGATATCCTTGGTCTCAAGGCCCCTGTGCCCTCCATCTTACCTGGAGCCTCAGAGGCCCAGCCAACCCTGCCCCTGACCACTCCTCACAACGGGGAATCTCACAGGTGGTATGTGTGGGTTTCCACCTTCACAAACCACACTCCTGTGCTTCTGGCTTAGGAGGCACCCACAGGTCCCCCAGACACAGCCCAGGGAGCGCTGGCCCGGAATTGTCACAGGGGTAGCGGGTCCTCATGTTGCGCACACACAGGTTGCCAGGCAGAGCGCACTGGGTCTCCCAGACCGCTGGCCCTCTGTTGCCCAGAAGGAAGATAAACATCACTCTGGCAGTCGTCCCTGCCCTCCCAGCCCCCGGGGCTCTTCCCAAAGATGGAGACACTTTTCTCCCTGAAAGCTCTGCTCTCTCCACCTGCCCTGGGGGTCATCTGTGTGTCCAGAGAGCTGCTTAGCAACCCAGGGTAACTGGGTGATTGTGTCAACAGCTCAGGACCAAAGGCCGTGAGAGGCAGAGTCCACTTACTCTGCCAAAGCTGAGGAAGGTGACACCCCCGTCCCCCTCCACACACACACACACACACACACACACACACACACACAGCTGCCAGCCTCAGGCCCCTCCATGCGGAGCCCTGCTCTCAGCAGCAGACTTCTCCCGTCTTGTCCCTTAGACTTCCCAAGCACAGTCACGGGGACCAGGAGTCTCCCTGTGAGAGACTGTCCCAGTGGGCACAGGGGGGCTCCTCCCCCAGCCAATTGGGAGGGGGAAAAGCCTGCGATGCTGAGGTCACATGTGTGACTCTGGAAGGTGGCTGGTGGGAGAAGGCTGCTGCTCTACATGCACATGAGATTCACATGTGAGCAGTCAGCCAGGCACCCTTACCTCCCGAAGCATGGACACCTCTTCCCACTTCTGCAAGCCACCCCCACCCCACTCCTCCTGAGCCGGCCCTCTCTTGAGTCAGTCACACCTTTCTTCTCCAAGGACTCTGCCTAGAGATGGATGGTGAGATGGGTGGTGAGGTGCCAGCCGTTGGCATTTCCTATTCCTCCAGTGCAGGGTGGGAGCTGGGCCCAGGGGGAGGGGGTGGCTAGGCATTGGAGGCAGCAGGGACTCAGGGGAGCTTCTCCTGTGGGCCGGTTTCACTCCCAGCAACACCAATAAAAATGATGATAATAATTAAGTATAATCACAATATGTTTTTATTGATTTATTCCCAAGTAGCCTGCTTTCCCTGGCCCCCTGTCATTATCTATTTCATCTTTTGAGGGGGTGGTGGGCGTTAAATATGGCTCTAATAAAAGGTAATAGCTGCCCATTTCCCACCCCCGCAGCTCTGCTGGCGCTCAGCTCAGCTCGGAGGCAGAGGGACGCTGCAGTGTGGGCGGTGCAGTGAGGAGGGGGAATGAGGCACTGGGCAGGAGAGGTACAGCCGGTGTAACCCCGCGTGAAAAGTTGGAGAAGCAGCGGAGTTTGCCTTCTCTTTGGAGCCTTTCACCTTCTTCCAGGCATACACCTCCCTCCCGGAGCAGCGACTGCATTCCCTGTCCCCTCCTAAGCCATCTGCAGGCGCCTGATCAGGCCAAGCGTTTATCCACCTGCCGTCAGAGCATGGCTGTTGTGTCGTTTAAAAAAAAAAAAAAAAAAAGGATCTTTGTAAAGATCAAGATGCTACATACACAAAATGCACTACAAAATGTCAATCGGTGATCTTAGTAAGCTTCCAGGGAGGGACATTTGTATTCTTGGCTCAGAGGAAGAGGTGGAATTTCGAACTTCTGGGGAAGGCATGGGGGCTGGGGACTCTCAGAATCCCTCGCCGCCAGCCTGCCCAGCGCCGGGCTCTGGCAGAGCACCCAGACAGAAGTCAGCTCCCGCAGCCCGCGCTCCCCGGGTGCAGGAGGGGTGACGAGTCCCTGGGTCCCCTCTGCCTTTCCTCCCCACTTTCCCTCTAGTCAGCTGAGGCCATCCTGAGCTCTGGTGCCAGTGAAGTAAGACCCGGATTTGCAGGCGCTGGACAAGCCTCCTGCACCCACATCGAGCCCGTTCGCATTTTACAGAGGGGAAGATGAGGCCGGGAGGATGGGGGGGAGCAGTGATGAGCCCCGAAACTCTGGGGTCCAAACCTCCTTCGCTTCCCCCCAACCCGTACCCCCACCTGCCCCCGCAACTTACCCTCTCCCCTCCCCCCACCTGCCCCCCCCAACTTACCCTCTCCCCTCCCCCCACCTGCCCCCCCAACTTACCCTCTCCCCTCCCCCCACCTGCCCCACCATTTTGTCGTCGCTTCCCATCCCCCCCACCTCCCGGATCTGGGCAGCTGCTCCTCCACGGGGCCCCACCCGCCAGCCGGAGGGTCCCCGCCCTTTAAAGCGCAGGCCGCGCCCCCTGACCTCGCCCCGCCCCCTCGGGCCGCTCCGCGCCTGCGCCGTGCGCGGCGGCCCGGGGTTGGGCAGATCCCGGTTCCGTGCAACTTTCAAGTGAGTTGCAAACTCCGCCCCGAGCTGCTGCGGGCGCCTGCGGCCCAGGGACCCGGAGGCTCAGGGACCCGGAGGCTCGCGCGAGCGAGGCCACCCGCACCCGCCGAGGGCCGCGATCCGACCCGCCGGGCCGCGCTCCCGGGTCTCCGCGGCTGGGAGTGCGGGGCGCGCCGTAACCGCCGGGCCGCGGGCGTTGCGCAGGAGCGCGCCCTCCGGCTCCGAGCGGCTCCCCGGGCCCTGGCCTCCCGCCCCGCCGGCCGGTCCGCCTCCTCCGGGGGCTCCGCACCTCCGCAGGCCGCTCCCCTCCGGACCTGCTGGAGCCTCTCGCCGGGCGCCTTCCCGGGGGGCTCCCTCGGCATCCGAGGCTGCAGGATGGTGTCCTGGATGATCTGCCGCCTGGTGGTGTGAGTATGGCCGCTCACCTGGGGGGGCCGGCCTGCCCCTGGGGGCACCTGAGGATGTCGGGTGGGAAAGGGGCCCCTCTGAGCGCCGTCACACCAGCCCCCACTCCCCCGACGCTCACCGCAATGGTTAACGGATCTGCGGGCCTGCACGCGGCTTCGGGCACCGCGGGCTCGTCGCCCTGGCCCCCAGAGTCTCCTCGGGTGATGGGGACCCCTCCGGCACTCACACACTGCAGGCTGGTGCCCACGGTGGGAGTCCACAGGCTGGCCCTAAGCCCCTTGGCAACCCCAGGTGTCGTGGCACGTTGTGGGAGGAGAATCCAGGTGCCTGCTTCCCATCTGAGCAGTCACATGACTCATCCTCCTCCCCCTCCACCTGCACCTCACTTCCCTACTCGTCACCTTTCAGTACTCTGGTGCCTGGCTTGACTATCCACCTGCAGCCTGGCGGTGTCAGGCCGGGTGGCCCTGGGCCTGATTGCACGCCCAAGGGAGGGGGGAGGTGCTCTCAGGAGCCTGCCTCCAACCGGCCTTGCTCCGTGGCTGTCTGTGCCCGCGCACCCATGGGCCACTGTGCAGGCCTGGGCAGGTGTGTTGGGGTGTTTGTAAACAAGCAGGGTGGGGAGGTGGCCTCCAGGGCACTGACTCAGATGCAGGTTGTGCAAGCCAAGCGGGAAGAACAGGGTAGGCACTGTCACCTTGAACCCGTGGGGGAGGTGGCCACCTATGGGGGGGACAGGGCAGGGCATGGCACCCCTCACATCCCCCCTCTGCTTTTCCGGCTGCTCTTCCAGGCTGGTGTTTGGGATGCTGTACCCAGCTTACGCGTCCTATAAGGCTGTGAAGACCAAGAACATTCGTGAATATGTGAGTGGCGCGGTTGGCTCAGGTGGGGTGGGATGTGACAGCCTTGGCGAGAGGTATGGTAGTTCTTGGGGGGGTGGGGAGAGTCTGAACTGGCCTCCCCCTCCTCCAGGGCCATACATGGCTGACAGCTCCTGAGCAGAGTGAGTGTGGATGGAGTGGCGAGGGGTGCTATTGAGGTGCCTGTGTAGTAACTTGTGGGTGAAGCTCGCCGGGGCTGGTGCAGGAATGAATGGCAGTTTCTCAGAGGCATCTCTCTAGGGCCGTCCAGGTGCCAGGGGAATGCAGCAGGACAGGCTCCCTGGCATCCGAGGGCTGGATCAGCCCAGGACAGTGAGTTGGCTCTGCAGGCTCAGGCACCAGCCTCTGACGCACGCCCCGCCCCCCACCCCCCACCCCGCTCTCTCCCCCCTCCCCAGGTCCGGTGGATGATGTACTGGATCGTCTTTGCCCTCTTCATGGCGGTGGAGGCCTTCTCAGACATCTTCATTTCCTGGTATGGGTGCAGGGGCTCGAGGGCGGTGGGAGGGGATGTCACACCCTCGAACTGGCCCCGGGGCTGACCTTGGCCCCCTGCGCCCTGACAGGTTCCCTTTCTACTACGAGATCAAGATGGCCTTCGTGCTGTGGCTGCTCTCACCCCACACCAAAGGGGCCAGCCTGCTTTACCGGAAGTTTGTCCACCCAGCCTTGTCCCGCCATGAGAAGGTACCCCCGGGGGAGCAGGGATGGAGTGTAGGGGTGGGTGTGAGGGGAAGGGCCTGGGACTCAGAATTCAGGCCCCTGGGGGACACCTAGGTTCCGACCCTGGTCTGGGGGACCTTGACGGAGCCTCGCCCGGGATAACCCAATGGGGAGCCCCTGAGTGGCCTTTGGGAGAGGGAAGAGTCAGCCGGGAGATGGTTTGGGAATGCGAGGGGGAGGCCGGAGCATGGCTGCTCCTTGCGGGGTGGGACGGGGTGGGACGGGGTGCTCTCGGTGTGGCTGCCGGCCCCTGTGGGTGGGGGTGGGCTGGGAGAGGGGGTGCTCAGAGATGCCTGCGGGCCAGCGGAGGAAGAGTGCCTGGGCCTGTCCTCTGAGCTCTGTGCCCCGATCCGCAGGAGATCGACACCTACATCGTGCAGGCCAAGGAGCGCAGCTACGAGACGATGCTCAGCTTCGGGAAGCGGGGCCTCAACATCGCCGCCACGGCCGCTGTGCAGGCCGCCGCCAAGGTGCCCTGGGGCCCAGCCCTCCCTCAGACCCCCACTCCCGCCCCCGGGCCTTTTGGGCAAGTTCCGCTCTCCGTCCGTGAGCCCAGGGGTAACAGCTGTCCGTCCCAGGGAGCAGGGGTGAGAGGTGACAGAGCCTGGCGCTGGGAGTTCACACCTCCTGGCTCTGACACGGCTGCTCCCCACGCTTTGGTTTCCTGGTGGTGACACAGGGACCCGGGACTAGAAGGCTGCCGAGGCGCTTTCAGGACTGAGGCCCTTGCCCCAGTGATTACCTTCTGGCCAGTCTTGGTTTCCCGGGCGGCTGCCCTGGCGAAGGCCCCTTCCTGCGAGGAGCCCTGGGCCTCCCCCAGGTGACCTGCCCTCCCACTTCCCTGCAGAGTCAGGATGCGCTGGCCGGGAGGCTGCGCAGCTTCTCCATGCAGGACCTGCGCTCCATCCCTGACACCCACGACGGCCCCAACTACCAGGACCCCCTCTACCTGGAGGACCAGATGCCCCGCCACAGGCCACCCATCGGTGAGTGGGCAGAGGGCTGTCCCAAGAAGGTTGGCTTCCCCCAGGGCTCAGCCCAGGCCTTCAGGCTGTGAATGCCCAATGCCACCCCCTCGGCCTCTCTCTTCTCCACACAGGGTACCGAGCAGGGGGCCTGCAGGACACCGACACGGAGGATGAGTGCTGGTCCGATACCGAAGTGGTGCCCCAGCCACCACCCCGGCCCCGAGACAAGCCTCTGAGCCGCAGCCAGAGCCTGCGTACGATCAAGAAGAAACCGCTGGCGCGGGAGGTGAGTGGCAAAGGGACAAGAGGGAGGTGGGCTGCCCTGCGCGTCCGCCTGGCCTCACGGTGTGCCTGCTCTCTCCCCCACAGGGCACCTCGCGCTCCCTGAAGGTGCGGACGAGGAAAAAGACTGTGCCCTCCGACCTGGGCAGCTAGGGTCTGCAGAGCCAGCCCCGTCTTACCTCGTGCTCTACAGGCCGCCAGGGGCTGTTTGAAGGGGCCCTCCGGCTGCACGTAGGGCCTGCCCCACCAGCTGCCCGGGCTCTGCCCTCCCGGCGCCTGCTGTTGGCGGCAGTTGCCGCTGGGGCCACGCACAGGGATCACCTGAGATGTACCAAAGCCAGCTGGGCCCGGGGTTCTATTTATAGTCTTTCTCATTCCTCTACCTTCGCAGGGAGGGGACCAGAGCCCTCCCCAGACCCCTGCAGACGAAACCAAAGCCCACCCAGTTGTGTTCATTCCTTCCCGTCCTTCAAAGTACTTGACAGCCTTCTCCGAGGCCTTGTGTGTGTGTGTCCTGGGTGTGTGTTTTGTGTTGGTGAATGAGGTGAATGAGGTTTGTGCAAGATTTGATAAATAAATATGTAACAGTGCTCCGTGTCTCCTGGTTTGTATCCCCAGCCTTCACAGGATACATGTTAAACAGCTTAGGATGAGGGCTAAAGGCAGTCAGAGGGCCGGAGGGGCCCAGTCTTCTTTCTGGGAGAGACAACCGTGGATAAAGAACTGTGGTGTGGCAGGTGCTGTCACAGAGGCTCTTGGAGACCCTGGAGCACACATACGGGCGAGTGGGGACCTAGTCCTGAGAGGTCAGAACCCAAGGAGACTGCAGTCAGGAGGAGGTGGGCTTGGCCTTGGCTCAAAGGTGCACTGGATGGCAGGTGGAGAAACCAGTGGGAGCGAGGGTCAGGAGGGGGATTAGGTGGAGCTGCACGGAATACACCTGGGGAGGCTGACTGCCTTCATGGGCCTGGGGAGGCTGACTTACCCCAGGGCACCTACCCTGTTTCCCCAAAGATGCGCTAGGTATTATTTTCAGGGGATGTCTTATTTTTTCATGAAAAATACGGTACACATTTATTGTTAAATGAAAATAAATGAAATTTATTACCTGTATACGGTACGGTAGTATGGTAGTTGTCAGCACAAACCAGACAAACTGTGAATCCTACAGTATCAAGAATTTACTCATTTATTCAATGACAATCATGTCATTATCTTCTGGAACATCATCATTAACAATCTAATTCCTGAATTTCCTGGTGAATTTCTTGTGACTCCATTTTTTTCAGAATCAGTGGACCAAACCTCTCATGTTTAGCCTGAGGGGGGTCTTATTTTCAGGGGGGGATGCCTTATATTTCACTCAGAAGGAAACATGTAAGTAGGTCTTATTTTCGGGGAAACACGTTAGGTGGCATTGAGTTTCTAACAGTCAACATTGGGAGCATTGCACCACTGCAGAGTGGACACTAGAGGGCAGCAGCTGCCAGGGTGTGGGCTGCCCCCAGTTTCCAGGTCAAGGAGGGTGGGGCTCAGAGAGAGGCTGGCCAGAGATGTGCCCTGCAAGGGCCTGGCCTCTGGTTGGCTGGAAGGGCCATGCGGAACTCCGGCCTGGCCTTTGATGGCCCTCCCTCCTGCTCCCTGCCGCTCAGGTCATTGGTCCTCAGCCTGCCCCATCCACATCGAGTCTCCAGCGTTGTCCCCGACTCAGGCTCTGTGCCTGGGCTGGCTCCGCTCCATCCCTCCCCTAACCCTGGGGCCGCCAGTCAGGCTCTGCCCGCTCCTGCCCCGGAAGCTGGTCTCCCTGCAGTGTCCTAAGGCTGCTCCCCTCTCCCAGCCCAGTCTGCTTTTCCTTATCTCTTTTGATTAAGCAAAGAGGTTGGTGAGAGTGTCGGGTGGGAAGAGGGGTGCCGGGGTGGTAACGGAGAGTGATCTGAGGAGTATGGATTAACTCTTGGTGTGGGATTATCCGGGTTTTATTGGGGGGGAGGCGCTTAATCTGCGGGAGAGGGATGGGGGAGGAGGTGACGTCCTATCTTGGCATTCCCTTGCATCATGGTGCTGATTTATCTCTTCATTTATTCATTCAAAACATCTTTATTAAGTATGTACCAGGTACCAGGCAAGTTGCCAGATACTGGGGATGCAAAGTCTAATAATGGCTGGCACAGGGGCTGCTTTAAGCCCCTGACATATTAATTTAACCCTCACAGCCATCTCATGAGGTACACATTATTATTATAATCTCCATTTCATAAAAGGGAAGCCAGGCCTGAGAGGGCAGGTAATTTGTCTGAGGTCACACAGTGTGTGGCAGAACTGGGCTTTGACGCAGGCACTCTGGCTCCCGAGTCAGACTTAAAGTAAGTGAGATGTTTCCTGCTTAGGAGGCAAGAGGGAGACTAGGATGTATCAAACATTGTGCTGGGCACTTGACAGAGAGGATTTCCTGGAATCTCCCCAACAAGTCTGAGGTAGTAGGCGGTACCCATTTTACAGATGGAAACACTGAGACTCAGAGAAGTGAAGCGACGCGTCTGAAATTGTGCTACCGGAGGGTGGGGGTCGCATCTCCGGATGCAAACGTGCCCGGAAGGGGCTTTGGTAGAGTGCAATGGCAGGACCCACACCCACCTCTGAACTGAGAGAACAGAACAGAGGATCATCTGGTGACTGGAGCAAAATGAAGCAAAAACTCCAAGGGAAGGCGAGCTGGGGGAGGCCTGGGGTTGTGGGAGGGAGAAGAAGGAGCGCTCATGGGAGCGGGGCTTCCCCTGCCTTCATTCCTAGGATGGGCCTTGGAGTGAGCAGCAAAGTCACTTGGGCCCCTGAGGTGACAGTGATGCTGTCTCAGTCCTGATTTCTAACAATTTTTTTTAAAAAATCGGGACTTTTAGCCGAAACCGGTTTGGCTCAGTGGATAGAGCGTCGGTCTGTGGACTTAAGGGTCCCAGGTTCAATTCCGGTCAAGGGCATGTACATTGGTTGCGGGCACGTCCCCGGTGGGGGGGGTGCAGGAGGCAGCTGGTCGATGTTTCTCTCTCATCGACGTTTCTAGCTCTCTCTCTCTCTCCCTTTCTCTCTGTAAAAAAATCAATAAAAAATATATTTTTTAAAAAAATAAAAAATAAAAAATCGGGACTTTTAAAACGCTATGGGACGCGGGACAAATTGTTAGAAATCGGGGCTGCCCCGCCAAAAGCGGGACATCTGGCCACCTTATCTCAGGTCCATGATCCCCACCTTCCCTTGCGGCCTCTTTGCCGGCCCCGTAGCCCCACAACCTCAGCCTTTACCCATGCCACTCCTCTTTCTGCCTCCTGAGCACCTCCCACCCATCCCAGCATCAGTCTCAGACCTTCGCTCCTGCTGAGCGCAGCTCTGGCCCCGTGAACAGTCTTTCTTCCCAGCCTGTCACGACCGTCCTTCAAGACCTGCTGTTTCTGGGAAGCCTCCCCTGGCTCGGGAACCCCTCCTCCAGCTCCGAAGCCTCCCGATCTCTGGCCAGCTCCCCCTGTCCTGGGCACAGAATGCCGTGGGCTGTGCTGGTGTCCCCATCACTCTCCCTTCCCAGCTGCCACCCTTCCACTCAACATGCTTCGTGTTCTCCGCCTCCGTCCACCTAGCCTGTCCAGTGGCTCCACGCTGGTCTCCTGACATGCTCTTCCTCCCCCCCCCCCCACTCCCTGTTCCATGGCCAGTTGCCCTTTGAAGCGCCCTCAGATCCCCCCCCCCCCCCCCCCCCGCGCCCAGGAAGCCCTCCGGGCACCCCCTTGGAGTGGAGTGCTCTTCCAGACCACACCATCGCTGTTCTTGTGCCGACTTCTATTTTTGCCTCGAACACATTGTATTTCCTCCCCGACTGCACTGCAACTTCATAAAGAACAGACTGGCATCTTATCCACTTCTGTATCCCGGCCAGGAACAAATGGTGGTTTAGCCGAAGAGAAATATCGCCGTGCCCGGGAAGGCCCACTCATTCTCCGGCGTCTGAGCATGGGTGTCTCCTCCTCCGAGAAGCCCCCCTGACTTCCCCAGGGTGGGACTCCGCGTGCCTTGTGGTCATTCCCACACCTGACTCGGGTGGTCACCGCTGGTTCTCGGCGCAGGGCCTGCTGGCAAAGGGGCAAATGCCCTGACCGAGCAGAGCGTCCGCGCATGGAGGGCGGGATGGCCTTGTTCTCTTCTCTGTGCCCCGCATCTCCTGGGTGCCCGGCACAGATCCGTGAAAATGGCAGGTCTCTGTGACACGTGTTTGGCAAACGGCTGAGGCGGTTGTATGGGTTCCAGGACATCTCGGGGCCAGAGCGGAGGGTTGAAGAGGATTCCAGGTTCTGGGGCATTTCTGGCCAAGCCTGCAAGTGCTCCTGAGCCCGGGCACTGGGTGTGGGCTGGCCTCCCTTCAGAGCCTGCCTGTTCCCTCTGAGGACCGCCGGGCATCTGCCAGCGCTGCCTCCCTCCGCACGGGTGCCCTTACCCTGTCTGGCCTGGCCCCCAGGGGAAGGCTAGGCTGTGCTCTGGCCTGCCCACCACCCCTAGCCTTCCATTACCCATCAGTGTGCCCGCTGCCTGCAGCAGGATGAGGGCTGGCCTGAAGCACAGAGGGGCCTACTCCCTGCTGGGCACATCAGTGCCCACCTTCCCTGCACCTTGCATTTGGCTCCTAAGTCCCCCTGCCTCGGAGCCCCTCTCCGCCTGCGGCCCCTCCATGTCCTGGTCCCCCTTCCCCGGCTCTGGCCTCTGTGGGCACAGGCCCCACTGCTGTATTTTTAGCTGCCACGCTCAGTGGTGGCAGCGGAGTTAGCCCCTCGTTTCAACACAGCCCTGGCCCGGGAGTTGAGTTGGGCAGTCCTGCCTGGCACTGCCCCACCCTTGAGGAGGTTGAAGCCATGAGAACTCAGGCTTTCGCCCCTAGATCCCCATCTGGCATCAGGGACTGGCATGTCCAGTGAGGGGGGGGGGGCAGAAGCCAGGCTGGAGGAGGGTGCCCTCTGCCCAGAGTGGAAGTCGCTGGGTCAGAGGTCCCGAGCAGGGCAGAACGCGCTAGCTTTCTCTGCCAGGTGGTGAGGTCGCCCTGAGGGGAGGGGGGGGAGGGGAGGGACCGTGGGGAGGCTGGGACTGGGAAGAGGAATTAGGTCAGGGGGGTGGGGGGGTGGGTGAGAGGGGACGCGGGGGCATCTGCTGCAGAGCTCCCTTCAGGCTCCCAGAGCATCGCCACACTTCCCTCCCTCTCCCCTCCTCCCGGTCCTGGGAGGATTTGCCCCGTGTTCCCCCTCCCCCATGCCCCCGCCCCAGGCGTCGCCACGAGGGTGGGGGGTGGGGTGGGGGGAGGCCTGCCTCAGCTGTCTGAAGGATGGAGGGGCTGGGGAAATAGGGCTAGGTGCCCAGACGGCCGCGTGTGTGGGAGGGGATGTCCTCAGATGCCCTCCACCCGGCAGTCCCCGCTCTGACGTGGGTGCCCCCCCTCTCCCCGCCCGGATTAGTGGCAGCTTGGCCCGGCTCTCCGGGGCTCCTTCCCCGCCCCCGCCGGCTGCCCTCCCCTGGGCTGGGGGCTGCTCCACCGGGGAGCACTGAGCTGGGCCAGGTAAGGGGCTCGGGGACAGCGTGAGGGCACCGGCTGGCTGCTGAGTGCTGCTGCGCCTGTCAGCATGGATGTGTTCTCCCTGCGTGTGTACGCGTGTGGCCGTGTGTGAGGGCTCGCCGTGGGGCAGGGTGGGCCCACGAGTGTCTGGGGGCTGCGGTTAGCATCCTTTGCCCACCGACCCGGCATTGTGTCCACGTGTTGTGTGGCTTTCCTCCTTGTGTTTGTGTCTTTTGTGTGTCTCCTCGGCTCTGCTCAGCCCTCAGGCTCCCAGGGCGGTGTGGGCCTGGGGCATGGGCCATGGAGCAGGATGGGGAGCTGGGCGAGGGGGGAAAGGGGCTCCTTCCCCTACCTCACCCCCACCCCACCCCCGCCCTCTGGGCATCTCAGAAGCCTGTCCTGAGAGTCCTGGTCTAATCCAGAGACAGTGACCTGTCAAAGCAGACATGGCAGCGGGGGTGGGGGTGGGGGGTGGGGAGGTGGGATGGAGGGCGGTGTCTGTTCCTGCTCCCCTGGGACTGTCCCCATCCTCTTTGGGGATGCCAGGACAGGCCCTTAGCCTCCACCCGTCCCCCCCCTCCCCCAATAGCCCAGGCTCCCCCCTCCCCCGCCCAGCCTCTTCCAGGCCCCAAGCCGCAGGAATCTCCACTCCCCCCCCCACACACTCTCCCACAAGCTTCGGCTGCCGGAGGACACAGATGGGGGACCACAGGCGCACCCCGGCTCCCATCTGCACCCCGGAGCCAGCTTGGGAGGGGGAGGCTGGGGCTGGGGGTGGCAGCCGGTCGTAGACCCTCCGCAATCATTGCCCCTGGCACACTCAGGTCTGGCCGCCCCTCAGGGGAACTGGGGGAGGAAGGGAGTGTTAATAACTCAGTCAAGTAAACAACCCCTACCAGCTTGCCCAGCCGCAGAACTGGCCTGGGGAAGGCGAGGGGGAGGGGGAGCCCGGCGGGGCCCAGGGAATCCAAGCCAACCTGATCCAAGTCCGGCTCGGGCCAGCCCCTCAGGCCCCCCTCTCCTCGGACCCCCCTCTTCCCTCGGCCATGAAAGGACCCCTCCCTCCCGTCTCCTGGAAGGAGAGCCCCCTCTCCAGGGGTGGTGTGACCTGGGACCCAGCGGGGCACCCGAGAGACCGGCCCCTGGGTGGGCTGGGGTGGGTGGGGTGCGGCGGCCTGCTCCGTCCCCGGCCGGTGACGGCCGGCCAGGGATGGCCTCCGCGGGGAGCAGGGAATCTCGGGGTGGGAGGTGGGAGCCGGAGGGGAAGGGAAGCGCCCGTTGGGCGTGTGGGTTTCTGTGTGTGTCTGAATCTGCCTGTGTGTGTTTGAATCTGTCTGTTTGTGTCTGTGCTCTGGAACCACCCCCGCAGAGGAGCCGGGATGCTTCCTCGGGTGGAGGGTGCCCTGCTTTCCCATTTCCTCTCCTCCGCTCTGTTCCTTCCCAGGAGCCACTCCCATGGGCTCCTCTCCAGCGCTGGGCCTGGGAGCGCTGGGCGCAGGGCCAGGGGCAGACCCCAGAACGTGGGGCTGGAGCAGGCGGGGGCGCTGACCCACCTCCGCCCAGACACTGGGTGAGACCGAGGCCCTCAGAGCAGGGCAGACGGAGCCTCACCCCCCCAATGGCTGGTACCACCGGAAACGGTGCCATTGGGCCCTGGGAGGGGGCTCGGGTCAGAAGGTGAGGAGCAGCTTGGCCAGGTGAAGAGGAGGCAGCGCAGACACCGCCTGCAGGCTGTGCCCATGTACCAACCAGCGCTGGAGAGGACCGAGGGAGCCGTGGTCCAGCAGGCACAGGGCCGGCTGGCGCGGGTCAGAGTGCCCATCACTGACCCGTGAGAACCCGGCCGCCCCTGCCAGCTCTGGCACTGCCCCTTGCAGCCAGCCGCTCGCCCTAGCACCCCAGGGGGCACCCCGCCCCGCGGTGGCCCGGTCCGGCCCCTCCCGCCCTTTGCTCCAGTTCCCGGGCTTGGCACCTATGGTGGGGGTGCTGCCCGCCTGCCAGGCTCCGGGGCCGGGCCCACGGGAGGGTGGGGCGGCTGGGAAGCTGGCACGCTGCCTCCGGGGAGCCTCTCTCGCAGGCGCCCGGGTGCCGCGGGGGGAGGGGGGAACAAAGGGCTCATTCTCCCCGTGCGCGGCCGGTGGCATCGCCGGGGCGTTGGCGGAAGCCCCCGGGGCCTGGGCGGGGGCAGGCCCGGGCGGGGCCGCCGAGTCACGGGCTCCTGTTCCCCGCAGGGCGCCGGAGGAGGAAACCGGCGGAGCAGCTTCCCCGCTCTCAGTTGCGCGTCTGGCGATGGCGATCGGAGGTCCCGCTGCGCTCCCCGCCGCGCTCTCCCTCCACTAGCCGCCGCTTTGCGCCCTCGCTGGTGCTCCCTGCCGGGTCCCGGGATCGGCGCCCCCTTCCAGGCACGACCCCCTCCCCCGGCCCCCCCAGGCCTCTCCCCCACTCGGCCGGCCGTCTCCGACCCGGGGCGCGCGCTCCCCCGGCCCGACTCGCCCTCTCGCTCCGGGGACCCCGCTCCCTGGCCCCGTCTCGGCCCTCCCCGCGGCGCAGCACGGAGTCTCCGCGTCCCATGGCGCAGCCCACTGCCTCGGCCCAAAAGCTGGTGCGGCCGATCCGCGCCGTGTGCCGCATCCTGCAGATCCCGGAGTCCGACCCCTCCAACCTGCGGCCCTAGAGCGCCCCGGCCGCCCCGGGGGAGAGAGAGAGAGGAGAGAGCGCCGGCGCGCTGAGCCCGGAGCGCGCGGGGAACCAGGCCTCGCCCATGGGGAGCGAGCGCCCGGCGCCGGCCCCGAGGACCGCCGCCCGAGCCGCCCCCGGCCCGTGAAGCGCAGGTAAGCAACGGGCTCCCCGCGCTCCTCTGGTCAGGGCCACACACCCCAAACCTAAGGGGCCCGATGGAGCGGTGTCCCCAGAAAACAAACCCGGGAGCTCTCCGTGCCGGCTCCGGCCCGGGGCTTCCCCCAGGGCCCGCCAAGAGGGAGCCCTGTGGCTCTGGTGCCACCTGTCACTCTGGTCCTTCTCACGCTCCTCGTTCAATTTTCCCTCCTTTGCCTCTGTCTGGGGTGCAGCCCGCTTTCCCCGCCTCCTTCCCACCCTCCCTCCCTCCCGCCGGGCTACGGTGACTGTGGCCGCCGGTGGCTCTGGCACTGCCCACTGGACAGGGGTGGCTTTGCCCATCCCCGCTGAGGTCCCTAATCCTCCTCTCCCGTGCGGCCCGCTCCTCCCCTTGGGGGCACGGCGGAGATCCCTGCGTACTCAGCAGGCGTCCTGGGACGCGTTCGGAAGCCAGAAAACCGGAGAGCGCGGGGGGAGAGGCAGAGGTGGCTGCCCAGGTGTGGGAAGCAGTACCAGCCGGCCCTGCCCGGAGGCTCTCCCCCAGTGACTCCAGCCTGCCCAGCCTGCCCTTCCCACCCGATGAGCCTGGGCGGGGCTGAGCGGTGGGGGTGGGCAAGCAGCACCCCCAGACACACAGACTGCCGTCTGGGAAGAGGCTTCTGGGACCGCCGCTTTCTAAGCCCCGTTTTATACAATGGCACCCCGAGGCCCAGAGGAGTGACGGGACTTGCCCGAAGTGGCACAACGGCGGCTGAGGCAGGGCCAGGATCCCGTCCTCTTGTCTCCAGGACAGCCGTTTCCACCCAGCTCACCCTTTGGGTTCTCGCCCCCCCTCCTTCCCCATGGCCTGTGCCTGGGTCCCAGGCTCTGGGAGGCGTGTCACCTTAGACACAGCCGTCTCTACAGTCTCTACCGAGGGGCTCAGGCCCAGGGGGGCTGTCAGATCCCCGGTATTTGAGGGTAGGGATGGCCTTTTGCACGGCTGCATCCCACCCAAGCGGGTCCCCCAGCCGCATGTGGGCAGGCAGCGTGGATCCCGGCTGTGGGTTGGCACTTGCTTTACTGGTTTGAGCCGGCTTGGCGTTGCCAGGGCGGTGCCCGCTCTGTGCTTGGGGCAGAGAGTGCCTGAGATGCTCGTATTTTGGTGGTTATGCCTCAGGGACCCCCTCTGGGAGAGCCCCATGAGGGCAGGAGAGTGATGGAGAGTACGCCCAGCTTCCTGAGGGACACCCCGGCCTGGGAGAAGACCGCCCCCGAGAACGGCATCGTGGGACGAGAGCCGAGTGCCCTGCCACGGGACGGCCTGCGCCACGGGGCCCTGTGCCTGGGAGAGCCGGCTCCCTTCTGGAGGGGTGTCCTGAGCACCCCAGACTCCTGGCTCCCCCCCGGCTTCCCTCAGCGCCCCAAGGACACGCTCCCACTGGTGGAGGGCGAAGGCCCCCGGAACGGGGAGAGGAAGGCCGGCTGGCTGAGCGGCAAGGAGGGGCTGCGCTGGAAGGAGGCCATGCTCGCCCACCCGCTGGCGTTGTACGGGTCCGCGTGCCCGCCTCGCTACGGCCCCCTGACTCCTGAGCACGGCGGCGGCCATCCCAAAAGTGACCCTGTGGCCTTCCGGCCCTTGCACTGCCCCTTCCTTCTGGAGACCAAGATCTTGGAGCGAGCTCCGTTCTGGGTGCCCACCTGCTTACCACCCTACCTAGTGTCCAGCCTGCCTCCAGAGCGTCCGTGCGACTGGCCCCTGGCCCCGCACCCCTGGGTGTACTCGGGGGGCCAGCCCAAAGTGCCCTCTGCCTTCAGCTTCGGCAGCAAGGTGAGTGCTGTACGTAGCAGGCCACGCAAGGGAGCGCAGGCGTCCTCAGGCAGCCCCGTTCAGGGCCACACCACCCTGCCCTTCCATCCTGATGAGAGAAAAAAAAAGAAAAAAAAAAAATACAAGGCAGCACCCAAACAGAGGAGCCTGTGAGCTCAGACAGAGTCAAGGCTAAGCAGTTCCTTCTCTAAGCACCTCCATCTCACTAGGCCTCCCCTGCCCGCGGGCCGTTTCAGGGACTGACTCATCCATTGTCCACTCAGAACAAGGCCCTGGGAGTCTGGGCCTCAGAATGTGCGTCTTGTTCCGGGAAAGGGGGGCAGACAAAGCCCTCTCTCTGGGAAGAGGTGCAGGCAGTCCCGAGGCCCGTGTCTGGGACACCTCCCCCCCCGGCAGGCAACCCCCATGCCCGGGGATGAGACCTAAGCTATTTAAAACTGGAATGATACAGGGCATCATATAATCCAGAGAGGTGCTGGCGGCCCTTTGGCTGTGCCAGGCACGAGCCCTTGAGTGGCTGGATCGTGGGGAGGTCTGAGAAATCCCGAGGGGGGAAGGGGATATGACCTGGAGGTGGCCGGGGCCGTGGGGTGGTGTGGAGGAGGAGCAGTGCCTATGAACCAGTATGTGAGATGTGGGCTCTTCCAAGTTTTCACAACCCTTCCGTTTGTCTGCTTCTTTTGAAGCAACTGGGAACCAAAGTCAGCACGGGCCTAATCCTTTCTCCTCTCTTCAGGGGTTCTGCCATAAGGATCCGAGTATTCTCAGGCTGGCGAAGGAGCCGTTGGCCGCTGTGGAACCTGGGTTGCTGGGCTTAGCCCCTGGCGGGCCTCTCCAGAGGAGCGGGGAGGCAGAGGGCCCTTCACTCCACCCGAGGGACGGGGAGCCAGGCCTCGGCAGGCATCAGAATCTTTGCCCACTCCTCCTGGGGCATCCAGACACTGTCCCCCGGGCCCCCTGGCCCACCTGTCCCCCAGGCCTTGGCAATGTCTGGACTGTGTCGGGCGGTGGCAGCGGCGGGGGCCTTGGGTACCAGCTGAGGCCATCTGCCGCACCGAGGTGCCCCTCCCCCGGGCCTCCCACCACCCCGGGGGGCTGTTACTCACCCCACCCACCCGCCGGAGATGGAGGCCTTAGCCCTTGTGGGAAGTGCCAGGAGGGCCGGGAGGGGGGCTCGAGGGGGTCCAGTGAGTCCATCGAGGAAGCAAGCAAGGCCTCCGGTCCCAGGGCCTGCCCGCCCAACCACCACACCAAGCTGAAGAAGACATGGCTCACCAGACACTCTGAGCAGTTTGGGTGCCCGGGGGGCTGCCCCGGGGGGGAGGAGGAGAGCCCAGCAGTCGCCCCGCTTCGGGCCCTCAAGAGGGCAAGTAGCCCTGAGGTCCAGGGAGTGGCCGGCAGCCCAGCCGCCAAGCGCCCCCCTGACCCTTTCCCGGGCAGAGCAGGGCAGGACGTCCTGGACTCGTCCCCGGAAAACAAGGCGGAGGCAGAACAGCACGCTGACCGCAGAGGTAAGGGGCAGAGGAGGGGCTGTGTGGGCCCCGCTTGGGGGGGGAGGGGGCAGCAAGCCCGGAGCTTTGCAAGGCGGTGGGGTCAGAGGTCCTTTACGAGTGGGTCGGACCAGCATCTGTTGGGAGTGCCTCCGCATCTCCAGGCCCGGGGCCTTCAAGCAAGTGGCTTCTATTTCTGTCCGCCTCCTCCCGAAGCCCTGGTGTGTTGGTGGCAGGGTAATGACACGGTGCACAGCTTGGGCTCTGGAGCCAGAGAGCCTGGGTCCTGACTTGGCTGACTGGCCATGAGCTGGCCGCTTCACCTCTCTGCGCCTCCGTTTCTTCATTTACAAAATGGGGGCGAAGATGGCACCCACCCCATCGAGGCTCCTCCGAAGGTTACGTGGTAGAATTCACGGAGAAGGCTCGGAAGAACTCCTGGCACTTAGCACCCAATAAACGTGCGCCTTCGTGCCTGTCTGTGTCACAGGCCCCGTCTGGAGGACTGCCTTCTCCCGGGGGACCCCTTGTCCTGCCTCCGGGACAAACAACTCTCCTGGCCAGCTGGACCGCGGAAGCTCCGTTTGGACTCTGGCCGTGTTGGTGCTCTGGGCGCATCCCAGACCCCTGTGTCACGCTCTGCCCTTCACAGAGGAAAGCTCGGGCACTGCCAGCCCCGCCTCCGTTCTCCGGGATCGCCTCGGGCCCTTGGCCCCCAGAACTGCCGCTGGGCCTGGATGCGGACTCTCTCAATGGCCGTGCCCGAGCACCCTGCACCTGGTGCGGGTCTGTCCACACTCTCGCAGGCCTGCGCCCGGGCGGGGAAGCCTTTGACCTCTTAGCCTTCTTGGGTTACTGCACCTGTGGTCTGTGTTGAAACGCCCTGGCCTTCTCACCTTCCGGCACCCTCCGTTCCTCCACGTTGGGATGGATTGTCTTCTCACGCTGACACGGCGCCAGCGGCATCGCTAAGCTCCCCGTGGAGCAATCCAAAGTCTACACTGGCTGCATCTTGAACTTGGGTTGGGATCATCACCCGAGCTGACCCTCCTCTCAGTTCTGTCAGTCTTGTCAGGGCATCGTCAGGCTCCTCTCGTGGACTATTTTTTTGTGAAGCTTCAAGCTGCCTGGTCCCCTCTCACTGGTTCCAAGTCAGGCCTCGGCGGGGGGGGGGGGCTGGCCTAAAGACCAGGCTGGTTCTGCATGTGTCAGCTGGGGGGCTAAGGCAGGGCCTGGGAGGCCCAGACCCCTGACAAGCTGCATTGTCCTCTCAGGACCCCGACACGGCAGGGCCAGCCTGCAGGACCCAGGGCGTCAGGATGCACCTTGCTCAGCTCCCCGGGCAGGCATCGCGCAGTGCCAGAGCTGTGCCCAGGCGGCGAGAGAGGCGGGAGGGCTGGCCTGCCACTCCCAGCCAGCGCCCAGGTGAGCCCTGGCCCCCGATGTCCCCATGTCCTCCCGCGTGGGGCTCCCTCCTCACCTCCCTCTGCCCTGTCTCCAGAGAATCCTCTCTGGGAGCGGAGCAGCAGGAGGAAGACTCGGCAGCCAGCTCCGAGGAGGGGGGAGGCTCCGGCCCCAAGGCCGGGCCCAGCGTGGGCCTCGCCAAACACCTCCTGAGTGGTTTGGGGGACCGGCTGTGCCGCCTGCTGCGGAGAGAGCGGGAGGCCCTGGCCTGGGCCCAGCGGGAAGGTGAGCGGCGCCCCCAGGGCATTGGGGAACCCAGGAGAGCCCGGTGCTTTCACAAGGAGCACGGGGAGTGCGTGCCCCTCCCTCCCGCCGGCACTGCCCGGTCCTCCCGTTCGGGAGGACACCCGCCCTGCTTTGCCCTTATTCCCGGCTAAGGCTCTTAGTCACCGTGTTTTCTGGTTTCTGACCTGGGAGGCGGATGTCGGGAAGGTACAAAACCTGGTCCAGCCCACTGTCTGAGAGCGCCAGGCTTGTTGGGGAAACAAGACTGGGTGCCAAGTGTCTGCAAGGGCACCCGAAGGCGGGGAGCTCCCTGCGGGTGGTGCATGAGGAAGGCTCGCTGGGTGGTGAGGCTCCCGGGCCCTCGGAGGCTGGGAGGACTTGGGCTGGTGTCTGAGGCTGTGCAGTCCCCCTGGCTCCAGGCTCTTCCTCCTGCATCATTTCATGGTGGCTCCCTCTCGTCCCAGAAGGCCCAGCCCCTATCCCCTTTCATCAGCCCCTGCCACTCCCTGAACCCGAATTCCCGGCACCCCAATTCACCTTCCCGGCTCCCCGGCTCCCCTGGGCTCGTCCACCCCTCCTGGCCCTGGCACTTTCTGCTCCTTCTCCTCCCCTCCCACCTGGTGAACGAAAACTTACTCATCGCCCATTTATGAGCCTGCCCCCATCAGCCCCACCCTCCGTCTCCATGGCATTCTCACACCCAGCACCCACTCTGTGGGACCTTCATCGTCGCCACATGTATGGGTCCATCTCCCGCTGGAAGGTGGGCACTGGGAGGGCAAGAGCCAAGGGCTGACTAGCTCTAAATCCCAGTCCCTAGCCCCGGTCGGGACAAGGTGTTTGTTGAGTGAATAAATGAACATTTGCTCACTGGCGTCCTTGCACCTATCAGTGAGAGCTACCGTGTTTCCCCGAAAATAAGACATCCTCCGAAAATAAGGCCTAGCGCATGGAAAGATAAGACACCCCCTGAAAATAAGACCTAGCGCAACTTTGGGAGAAAAAATTAATATAAGACACTGTCTTATTTTCGGGGAGACGGGGTCGCCTGAAACTCTGGGTGAGGGAAGGCAAGGCCTCTTAAACTTTCCTCCTCCATGCTGAGTGCCCTGAAGAAAGCCAGCTTGGGAGGGAGAGAGGGCGGCGGGTGAAGGGATGTGTTGGAAGTGGTGTGGGTTGGTAATTCAGGGCCAAGGGGGAAATCCGTGGGGCAGGAACTGGGGAGAGGGGCCTGCACCACCCCTGGGAGGGCTTCTGGAGACGATGGGCTCTGGGGAGGTTCTGTCCAGGGCATCTGGGGGGGCCTGTTTCCCTTCCGGGGCAGCTCCTTGGTGGAAACTGTTCCTGCTTCTCCTCCAGGCAGGTCTGCCACAGGAGGACGCCCAAAGGGGCCTGGGCGCGAGCCCGCTCTGACCCTGTTCTCTCCCGTGGTCAGCAGGCCAGGGGCCGGCCAGGACAGAGGACGACCCAGGCGTTCCAGGTTGCTGCAGCCGCTGCCACCATGGACTCTTCAACACCCACTGGAGATGCCCCCGCTGCAGCCACCGGCTGTGTGTGGCCTGTGGTCGCATGGCGGGTGCTGGCAGGGCCAGGGAGAAAGCAGGTAGGAAAGGAGCCCAGGGGCCGAGGGTGGGAGGACAGGGACCGGGGCCTCGGACGGCCTGCTCTAAGGTTTGTGGCCATTTCTTGGCTGCCTCTCTCCAAGAAAGCCGCCCTCCCAGGCCCCAGCATCAGCCACCGCTGCCCAGTGCCCCAGAGAGCAGACCTTCCCCTCTCCCCAGACCTGAGGGCCATGCCTGCGTCCTTTCCCCTCTTAAACGGAGTCGGGGGCCTCTTCTGTGCCTCCCATTTTGTCAGTTTGCTCCTTTTTAAACCTTACAACACTGAGAGGTGGGTGTTTTTGCCTCTATATTCCAGATTAGAAAAACCTCACAGACGTTAAATGACTCATCCAAGGCACACAGCTACTAAGTGTTGGGCCCGGATTTATTTATTTATTATTATTATTATTTTTATTTTTTAAAATATATTTTATTGATTTTTTTTTTTTTTTTTACGGAGAGGAGAGAGAGGGATAGAGAGTTAGAAACATCGATCAACTGCCTCCTGCACAATTTCCACTTGGATGTGCTTGCAACCAAGGTACATGCCCTTGACCGGAATCAAACGCGGGACCTTTCAGTCTGCAGGCCGACGCTCTGTCCACTGAGCCAAACCGGTCAGGGCTGGGCCCAGGATTTAGACTCCGCTTCTGATTTCAAGTCCAGTTCTTTTCACTGTTCTCGGCAAGCTTTCCTCTCCTGGGTTCCGCTCGGCCACAGGAGGGCTTAAAATTGCCCAGCGTGCTCACAGACATGGCCAGAAAGAGTTCCAGGGTAGACACGTTCAGAACACTCTATTCTGCGCAGTCATTATGGAGTTTGGCAACTCCCGTCAGCATATTAGAGCGTCTGTGTTCCAAAGGCAAGGCTCGTACCGTCACAGCCGAACCCGAGCGTCCCAGGAAGCCCATTCTTTATGGGTTGCTTAGATATCGGTCCTCCTACCCTTCTTCCCTGACCTTAACCTGTGCATGCCTTCGTTTTCTGACCTGCAGCTTCTCCCTTTCCACCCCACAGGCTCTCCGGAGCAGCCCACGGAGGAGTGTGCCCAGGAGGCTGGGCACAGCGCCTCTTCCCTGATGCTCACCCAGTTTGTTTCCAGCCAGGGTGAGTCATGATGGAGGGGTGGAGGCACGCAGGGGGCGGGTCCTGGGGGAGAGCGGCTTCCTGTTTGGATGCTGTGCCCTCCTGACTGGTGAGGTCAAGCAGCACAGGGCTGCCTCTTGTCTGCACTCACCACCCAACTCCCATCTCCCTGCCCGCCTCCAGCTTTGACAGAGCTGAGCGCGGCGATGCACCAGGTCTGGATCAAGTTTGATATCCGGGAGCACTGTCCCTGCCAAGCCGATGCCCAGGTGTGGGCCCCTGGGGATGGGGGCCAGCAGGTGAGAGGCATGGCACGGCAACAGCGTGCTAGCCGGTGGGCCCCAGGGTGGCGCATGCGACTATGCGACTGCACATTGTGGACCTTGGCGGGGTCTGGCCCCTCTCTTTTGACGGGAATGAAGAGGGACTTCAGGCTGCTTCCCACCCTCCCTTGGGGATGTGGGTCCATGGAGCCAGTGTTGGCCTCTGTCCCACCCCTGCCCCCCTGTGCCCTGCCCAGCAGAAGCCTCACTGTGTGCAGCCAGAGCTCCTATGCACGCTGCCACATCATGCCAGAGGGGCGTGCTTTCCTGTCATGTCTGTCCACATCCCGGCACAGACGCCTGCTGGCGGGACATGGGCTCATCTCAGTATTCCCTGCACCTATCACAGAGCAGGTGCTAGATAGGCATTTTGCAAAGTTTTATGAAACTTGAGAGTTGCTTTTTTTTTAAAAATAAAAGTTATTCATTCAAGAAGTAGTTTGTGGAATGCCTTTTGTATGGCATACTCCATGCTACATACCCGTGGTGGAAAATTTGGAAAATACGGACAGGTATAGGAAGAAAATGACAGTGGTCTGTAATGCCACCACGATCAGTTTGACATCAGTAACTTGCCCCTCTGCTTATTTGAGTCTGTTCCAGAGTACTTTAGATTGTACTGCACCAGGAGCAACTTTTCCCCACCCAGCGCCATATATATAACCTTTTGCTTCTTGTAAACGTGATTTTAGGACCTGCGGGAGTCCGTTGTGAATGCTTGTGGGTTGAGTTGGATTGAGTTGCCTTTGCCATTCTAAAATCTCTGTTTGGACCGGGGGGTGGTGGATGGGTTTAACAGAAGGAGCCGAGACAGAAAAACACCCCAACCCCACAACCTTCCTGCAAGGAGGACACCAACAGGACCAAGGACATCAAAGCGGGTGAGCAGCCCCTGGCCCTCGTTCAGGCTGGGGTGGGTGTGCGGGCCAGCGGGGTAAGCCTCGGGAGAGATTGGAATGGCTTCAGCCACCACCTCCCCCAGTCGCTGTCACTCTTCCCAAGTCACTCCAGAGAAAGTAAATCTACACAAAATCTGGGACAAGCCTCCTAATCTCTTTCTAGCCAGGGCCCCTTCCGAGCCCTCCTTAGGAGAGGGTCTGGAGCTGCCAGCAGGGGAGCTGGGGGGTGGGAGGCGAGTGCATCCAGAGCGAGGGGCAAGCCAGCGAGGAGAGCGTGGGCTCGGCCCCGAGATGAGGAGGAGCGTGTGGGCAACGGAGCCTTGAGAGGGAGGGGAAGCCTTCACTGGTTTTCTCCTCAACAGAGACCCTGGACTCCACAGAGACCCCTGCCGAGGACCGTGCCAGCCGGGGGCCCCTGCCTTGCCCCTCTCTCTGTGAACTGCTGGCCTCCACCGCCGTCAAACTCTGCTTGGGGCACGAGCGGATACACATGGCCTTTGCCCCTGTCACTCCAGCCCTACCCAGTGTGAGTAAGGGCATGAGGGGGCTGGGGCGACGCCGGGGGGCAGAGGTGGGGCTGGCCCTCCCTGCAGGTTCGGCAGGTCCTAAGTCCCTCTGCTTTCTGCCACCCCGTGCCCCCGTAGGATGACCGAATCACCAACATCCTGGACAGCATCATCGCGCAGGTGGTGGAGCGGAAGATCCAGGAGAAAGCCCTGGGGCCGGGGCTGCGGGCCGGGCCTGGCCTGCGCAAGGGTCTGGGCCTGCCCCTCTCCCCGGTGCGGCCGCGGCCGCCTCCGCCGGGAGCTCTGCTGTGGCTGCAGGAGCCCAGGCCTCGGGGAGCCTTCCGCCTCTTCCAGGAGCACTGGCGGCAGGGCCAGGTGAGGCTCTCACCACCCCACGGCCGGCTCTCACAGCCTCGCCTTCCCTCGGGGCCCTGGGCCCTGGGCCCGGCCCGTCACTCAGAGCGAGCAGCCGGGGCTGGCCCCCACGCTGTTCTGGCGGGTCTCTACAGCAACCCCCCTCCCCCCAGCCTGAGCATGTCGGGCAGCCCATCTTTCTCCCCGTGTCCCCGTCCCCTCCACTACAGCCTGTGTTGGTGTCAGGGATTCAGAGGACATTGCAAGGCAGCCTGTGGGGGACCGAGGCTCTGGAGGCGCTCGGAGGCCAGGTGCAGGCGCTGACCCCCCTCGGGCCTCCCCAGCCCACAAACCTGGGCACTGCGGCCTTCTGGGATGGATTCTCCCGGCCTGAGAGTAAGTGTCTTTGGTGTGGGGTAGAGGGCACTGGGAGCCAGCCAGAGCCAGGGGGCAGCGGAGTCCCAGAGTGACCCTGGGGGCAGCTGGAAGCAGGGCCCAGGGCAGGAACAGGACTGTGTTGCTGCCCCGGGGACAGGGCCCCTGGGCAATGGCCTTTCTGTTCCTCCCTAGTTCGCCCAAAGTCATCTGAGGCCTCCATTCTCCTGCTGCACAGAGCTCTGCGGGCTGAGGACACAAGCAGGTGTGTATGGGACCGAGGACTGGCCCTCCCTCACCCCCCTGTCCTCCCTCCTCTCCTCCTTACCTCCACCTGTGACCCTTGGCACACTCTGCTTGCCCCTGGGAATTACCCCTGTAGTGGAGGGCTCTGGTGCCCGGGTTGAGCCTGCGGGGCGTGACTCCTCCCCTGCAGGCTGGAGAGCCTGGCTGCCAGCCTGCCCCTCCCGGAGTACTGTGCCCCACACGGGAAACTCAACCTGGCTTCCTACCTCCCGCCCGGCCCTGCCCTGTGTCCACTGGAGCCCCAGCTGTGGGCAGCCTATGGTGAGTGTGCTCTGCCCTCCTGCCCAGTCCCTGCCCCCACTCCTGTCACCCCCGTGCCTGTACGTCTGTGCCAAGGTTCTGAGACCTTTCCCCAACTGTCTTTCCCAACATCCCTTCCTCCGTCTCCGTGCAGGTGTGAGCCCGCACCGTGGGCACCTGGGGACCAAGAACCTCTGTGTGGAGGTGACTGACCTGGTCAGCATCCTGGTGCGCGCGGAAGCCTCGCTGCCTGCCTGGCACCGGGCGCAGAAAGGTGGGCCCTCGGGCGGAAGCAGGGCGGGGACAAGCTGCGGATGCGAGGTGCGGTGTCTGCCTGACCGGGGCCCTCCTGAGCTGTCTTTCTCCCTCAGACTTCCTCTCGGGCCTGGACGGGGAGGGGCTCTGGTCTCCTGGCAGCCAGGTCAGCGCTGTGTGGCACGTGTTCCGGGCACAGGACGCTCAACGCATCCGCCGCTTTCTCCAGATGGTGAGGAGGGAGCCGGGACCCTGCCCTTCCCCAATGCAGCCCCTCTGCTCCCACCCCAGGAGCCCTCCCTGTCTGTGTTATCGGTGTGCTCCCCCAACCCCAACCCCTCAGGTGAGCCTCGACTCACACGCATGTGCAGAGAGGGCGGACTGGGACCTGGTGGGAATCATGCGGTGGGTGCACAGCAAGGGGGTGAGGTGGTGAAATGGACTTGGAGTTGCTGCCAGCTAGTCACTGTATTGAGGCCTTGGTCCGTTATCTCAGTTCATGGTCACTCCCCTCCTTCATACACACATGATGCTTTCCCATTTTGCAGATGAGGGAAACTGAGGCCCAGTAGTGGAGCTGGGGCCAGAGCTTACAGCTGTTCCCATCCCAGGTCACTCCCCTGTGCTCCTCCTGGGGCCTCCCCTACACAGGCAAAGGGGAGCCCGTCTGAGATGCCCCCCTGCTACTCTCCCTTAAGTCATCTCCATCTCACGAGGGGGTGCTCCTTGAGGTGCTAGCAAGTAAGGGCTGAAGGAGGCCATGTGGCAGGTGGCGGGAGAGGCTGGACCACACTGAGGGGCAGGGGAAGGGAAGGGGAGCAGGAGGCAGGAAGGCCCAGTGGCTGGGGCCCGCGTTGAGGTTAGGGCAGGTCCAGGTTCAAAGTCTGGCTGAGCTCGGGTTGTTCCGGGGAAAAGATGTCCACCAAGTGTCACCCCTGCTGAGGCCTATGCTCACACGCACACATGCAGATGTCAACACGGCTGCCCACCACCACCCTCCTGCCCACAGGCACGCACATCTGCAGACATGTGGACAGGCACAGGTAGATCTGCAGATGCACACACAGATGCTGGAACACATCTGCAGAGGGGGGCAGACAGAAGCATCCCTTCATACCCACATGGCCTCACCTGGTCTGGGTGTGGCCGGCTGTGGCCAGTCCCATATGGCCAAATCCAATGACTCATGGGGAGTCTGAGGGGTGTAGTCTCACTGGGTGGCCTGGGAAGCACTGACCTAGCCACAGGATGAACTTGAACTGGGGGGGCGGGGTCAAAGGAGCCTTGGCTCCTGCCTGGAGCTACCCTAGGGTCCAACCTGGCTTCACGTCTCCCCTTCCCGTGGCTCAGCCTTGGAGCCCTAAGCCCAGAGACCATTGCTGAGGGTCTAGCTTAGGGGTGTCGAACTCAATCAGAGAAGGGGCCAAAATCTAAAATCCAGCCTAAATCGCGGGCCGAATGGTTTACTGAACAGTCATAAACTGTCATTGTGATGGAAACGCAGCAGAGTGCAGTGATGACAGCACGGTGCGGGCCACATTGCAAGGCCTGGCGGGACGAATTTGGCCCGAGGGCCTTGTGTTTGACACATGTGGTCTAGCTGAAGGGGGGGTTCCGCTGGTGTCAGCCTCTGTAGGCATTCCCTGGCATCTTCTCTGGCCTCTGCCAGTCCCTGCCTGCCCAAGGAGCTCCCTGCTCGGGTTTGGCTGGCGAAGCCGCCCCCATGGCTGTGCTTGCTTCAGAGGCCTTGGCCTGGATGGGCCAGCCTGCCCATCCACTGGGCATCGGAACTTCTATGTGTCCTTGCTGCTTCTGCATCTGGGATCATAGACGAATCTGGACTTTCTCTCCAGGAACACCTAATCACCTACAATTTAGCACACAATTCCGATGTTTGCTGGGATCCAGGTTAAGAGCTCCTGGTACAGCAAGTTCATGAGTTGGGATATTCAGGGTGTCTTCCCGGGTTTGGAGGGAGAGGGATGTTTGAGTGAGGGCCCAGGGCCAGGGACACAGGCTCCTCACGGCATCTGGCTTCAGGGAAAGCAGGGATTTAGACCCCCCTCACCTCAGGACCCTTAATCCTTTCCTCTAAGCTCCTTTCAGCCAAATCTCCAATCTGCCAACCATAGTGGCTGCAGCCCCTCACCACCCAGCCCCTTTCTCTCCCTCCTGTGTCCTGTCTGCTTGCCCTTCAAGACTTGAACACTCAGCCCTGGCCGGTTTGGCTCAGTGGATAGAGCGTCGGCCTGCGGACTGAAAGGTCCCAGGTTCGATTCCGGTCAAGGGCATGTACCTTGGTTGCAGGCACATCCCCATTTGGGGGTGCGCAAGAGGCAGCTGATCAATGATTCTCTCTCACTGATGTTTCTAACGCTCTATCCCTCTCTCTTCCTCTCTGTAAAAAATCAACAAAATATATTAAAAAAAGAAAAGAAAAAAGACTTGAACTCTCAGCCCTGGTTGGTTTGGCTCAGTGGATAGAGCGTCTGCTTGCGGACTGAGGGGTCCTGGGTTGGATTCTGGCCAGGGCACATGCCTGGGTTGTGGGCTCGATCTCGGGGATGGGGGTGGGGGGTGGGGATGCAGGAAACAGCTGATCAGTGATTGTCTCTCATCATTGATGTTTCTATCTCTGTCCCTCTCCCTTCCTCTCTGAAATCAATGAAAATTATATATATATATATATATGAATGACTTGAGCACTCAGCTCTTTCCAATGCCCACAGCCCTTGGGAAGTCTGTGCCCCGGCCTTCGACAGCCTGCCCTTGCCTCCCGCCCTCGCTCATTGCCCTTTCTCTTCGTAGGTGTGTCCGGCGGGGGCTGGCAACCTGGAGCCTGGCACCCCGGGCAGCTGCTACCTGGACGCAGGGCTCCGGCGGCGCCTGCGGGAGGAGTGGGGTGTGAGCTGCTGGACCCTGCTGCAGGCCCCTGGCGAGGCCGTGCTGGTCCCCGCGGGGGCTCCCCACCAGGTGGGTCCCGGGGGCCGGGTTCTGCTGAGAGCTCAGAATGCCAGAAACAGCGAGAACAGCAGCACAGCGGTGCTGCACCCCCGCCTGGTATGGCCTCGTCCCTCTCCAGACCCGGAGGACCTGGGCTGGGCAGGAAGCACGCTCCCACTGTGGCATCCTTGAACGGGGCTTTGGGTCCGTGGGTGCTGGCTCTGCCTGTGCCATCTCTGGCATCCCCTTGGCCTGGTTTTGGCCCTGCCCTTGGGGATGCTGGAGCTGGATCCAGAGCCTCTGGTCTCTGAGCGCTGGGCGGGGCCATTATGGGAAGCAGAGCTCAGGACCAAGGTGGGCAGCATGAGTCTGACCCTCCTGTTCGCCTCCTTCCTGGCACAGGTGCAGGGCCTGGTAAGCACAGTGAGCGTCACTCAGCACTTCATGTCCCCTGAGACCTCTGCCCTCTCTGCTCAGCTCTGCCACCAGGGATCCAGCCTGTCCCCTGACTGCCGCCTGCTTTGTGCCCAGGTGAGGATGACGCTGGCCAGGAAGCTGGCTGGGCTTCCCAGCTGGGGTGGCATAGCAGACACAGCCCTGTGCCCGGCAGGCAGCTAGCCGGGGCCAGCGAGGGAGTTCTTCTTGGTGGGGAGAGCCCACGAATGCAATTGTGAACTCCGTGTCCTCTCGTTTCCTCCTAGGTGGACTGGGCTGTGTTCCAAGCAGTGAAGTTGGCTGTGGGAACATTACAGGAGGCCAAATAGAGGGGTCCCGGGGGTCTGGGGGGCAGGTAGACCAGGTGCTCAGCTCAGGCACAGCATAAGCAGAGACGACGCTGGGGACTTGGGGACCTTCGGTTACTTCCACAAGCACCACTCTGGGTACGAGCAGGATACTGAGGTTCACCCCTGCCCTTCGCAGGCTGGCACCTGCTCGGCCCCTATGCCCCCTCCATGGTATCAGGCCCACACTGGGGGTGGCTGACGCCCTTCAACCCCCACCCCCCAACCCAGGAGACAAACAGCCTTTCCTTGAGGGACTTTGGGAATCACTCTGGCTTAAGCAACACCTTTTGCTCCCTCATCTCCTGCTATCCCCCCTGTGCCAAGCTCTGTTATACCACCCACCTCCTCACGGGACTCCGGGCGCCCATGCACTGCAGGCATCTGGACAAGGGGCCACTGAAATCCTGCCCTCTTGTTCGAGGGAGAGCTGGGAGGTGTGGGGAGGGGGTGGCCTCAGGACACCCCCCAGGCTTGGCCAAAGGGAATGATAGGGGTGAGGCCCTGTCCCTGCTCCCTCCTCTCGCCTCCCTCCTTCCTGTTTTCCATTAAAGTCTGTTGTTTTCTGAAAGCCACCAGGCCAGTGTGGTTGGCCCTGCTCCTGCTGGCCACATGGATTGGGGAGGGTGGGGAGACATGGAAATGGAACCCGGTGGGCAGGAGCTGGGCTGTCCCTGACAGGGGCCTCAAGCACCCTTGCCTGCTCTTCTTCCCTGGACCTGGGTCCCTCCCTCCCACGGAGAAGCAGATGGAGCCCTCCCGGGGGCTACCCCTGAGGATGCTCCTGACAGCGACAACAGCAAGGCAGAGCCCCGGGGCACAGCACAAGGTGGCTTTGACCCCAGCCCTCCCTGAAAAGTCCAGGCTACCCCATCTCTTCTGTCCGATCTGACTCGGAGCTCCCGGAGTGTGGCCCAGGAGAGTGGCACACTCCGGGAGTGTGGCCCTGGCCAGGGCCTGGCCTGCTGCCTGAGCCGGTTGGCAGCCCCTCCCCATCCCCAGGGCTCTCTGGTGTGGCTCTGCCTGTTCCCCTGCCCTAGTACACCTCAGCCCAGCATGCCCCACGCGTCATATCTGATTGTTCTGCGGTGGTTCGGGAAATGTGTGGTTTTTTTTTTTTTAATAAAATAATTTTTTTATTATAAATTTCATACACTTTCAGAACATGTAGGAAATAAGACATGTCACTTGTAATTCCACCTCCACTCACTCTCAACCCAAACACGGGTAGTATCTGGGTATATCTCCTCTTAGTATTTTTTTGTTTAAAGGATCTGTTTTACCTGCAGTTGGATTGGTATGCTTTTTACTCGGTTTCTCTCTTTTAACAAACACTCTGGTGATCATTTTCTGGGTTGCCACCTAACCTTCATTATTAATGATTGCTTATATTCCCTTAAGTGGCTTTGCCATGACTCACATAGCCATCCTTCGTAAAAAAAAAAAAAAAAAAAAAAAAAAAGGTTTCCCCATTGTCTGCAAAGCTAGATCATTTTCATGTGATAGAAAAACAAAAGAAAAATTTAAGGGACCCCTACATCTTACAGTGCCACTATTATCATTTAAGTGATCTCCCGTATCATGGTTTTGAGGTAGATGCTACTTGTTTTTATTCTTCAGAAGAAGAAACAGGCAGGCTGGGGGGTATGTGAGTCACCCAAGGTCACACTGCAATTTTAGTGGCAGAATTGGGATTTGAACCAAGTGTCCTGACTCCAGCCGCCTCATTTACTTGGGGCTTAATGGCCTTTGCAGATGGCTCTGCTGTCTGCTCTGTCCTCCTTCCAATACATGCACTTTATAGCTGATCCTGTTCCAAGTGGCACCGGATGACCCATCCCTACCTACACTTCGCCTTATGTAGCCTTGTCCTGAAGTCACCCCAGAACACCGAACACAAGGTCCTTCCTCTGAGCAGAGGGGGATGGCTCTGCCAGGGGCCTCGTTCTTCCCCACAGACCGCTGGGCCTGTGGTCACAGTGCCCTCCGGGGAATATCGGGTCTGACTCCATGCAAACAGCAGGTGGGCCACATGTCCCAGGACTGGACAGGGGATGAAGCCAGTTCAAGTGGGGACTGGCCTTGAGACTTGAGGCTCTTGGTGACCCTCTTCCTTACGGAGGCTTAGCTTGTCCCCCGCCCAGCCCAGCCCTGCCCTGTAGGCCTCTGCTTTTCCCAGCAACCCCACTGTCCACCGTCACCCCCAGCCTCTCGCTGGCCCTGACAGCGAGGCACAGCCTCAGCGCCGGAAGTGACCTCAGGGGTGCAGACTTCATGCTGCCTCTTTCCTTTTTTCTGATGAAGTACATTTTCTTGATTCTTAGTTTTTAAATTATTGTAGATTCACAACCGAGTCACAAAAATAGCACAGACCATTCCCAGTTCTTCAACCAGCTTCCTCTCATGTTAACATGGTACATTACCATGGCACAGTGATCAAAACTAAGACATTGGACCGAAACCGGGTTGGCTCAGCGGTAGAGCGTCGGCCTGTGGACTGAAGGGTCCCTGGTTCGATTCCGGTCAAGGGCACGTACATTGGTTGTGGGCACATCCCCGGTGGGGGGTGTGCAGGAGGCAGCTGGTCGACGTTTCTCTCATCGACATTTCTAGCTCTCTATCCCTCTCCCTTCCTCTCTGTGGAAAATAAATTAAATATATTTTAAAAAAACACAAAACAAACGAAGACATTGGTTTCCATACAACACTATTAACTGAGCCATAGGCTTGATTGAGATACACTAGTCTTCCCTTCATGTCCATTCTGTTTCAGGATTCACTTCTGCCTGTGTCTTACCAATGACCTAGACAGTAGAGGTGGCTTTCCCCAAGATCACAGCAAGCTAGCTAGTGGCATCGCCCAGGCTGAAGCCAGACCTCCTCCCTAACCCTCCTTGCCCTTCCCACTTTGACAAGGGCCAGGGTTTGCTGCTCTGTGGCCAACTCCGGTGTGACAGACACCTTTGCCCCACCCTGCCTGTCCGTGCCCTCCCATCGGTTTCTGAGGTTGCCTACACTTCCCTGCTGCCCTCCTGCTCACACGCGTAAGTGGGTCCCTGGGCCCTGGAATGGCTGGCTCAGGCTTCCCTCCTGTGGGCACTGTGTGGTGTGGACCCTCTTGGCCACCCCTCTGCATGGCCACCCCACCTGCCAGCCATCTTCCCTCTCTGGAAATGGAGGGCACAGAGCAGCAACCTTGAGGGAGACCTTTCTTTGTGTCTGGTCCTGCAGGTTTCTGTCTCAGCCCCCCATCCCTCAGCTTTGCCCAGGTATCTCGGGGCCCCTCCTGCCTCGGTCTGGGGTGTGCTCCCCTCCTCCCAAAGCCCGAGAAAGCCTGCCTCCTGTTGTCTCCCTCGGCTCCCAGGGCTTCGCCAGGGCTGCCCTTCGCAGTTTATAAGCAGCGTCCATGGTTGCCTCCGGTGCTCCTCACCGCAGCGGTGATTAGGGCCACTTCAGAGGCGCGGAGCACTTTTCCCAGCGATAATGGGGGGAGTGGAGCCGCAGTTGGTTGAAGTCTTTGCTCTTCGGGGCCGTCAGGCCGCCTGGTGTTTATCTTAGGCTGCCTCTGCGGCTCTCACAGCCCTGCCCAGACATGACCTCATTCTCTCTCAAATCATCCCCGGGAGGCAGAAAGGAGTCTGAGACAAATGCTGTCCCCACTTCACAGATGGGAAAACTGCGGTACACACACACACACACACACACACACACATACACACACACACACGTTAACAGGTGGCTCTGCAGCTCTAGGGGCCGCTGAGGCTGGTGAGTTCAGCTGTCTGGGAGGCAACAGGTCTGGGGCTGGGAGCAGCAGCGTCACCAAGTGCCTCCAAAGATTGTGGGCCCACAGCCTAACACAGCACCCCGCCTCCAGGGATCTCACAGCTCATGTGTGAGAAGGGCCTCAGGAGGTAGACCTGGTGCGGCTTAGCCTGGTTCCCTGGTGGCCCTGAAGGCACTCTTCATGAAAGTGGGCCTTTGTGTTGTAGCAACAAGTGCTGTGGCCAGGGGGGTCCGGCCAGGGGTGGGGGCAGTTGGTGGGCTGCCTGGCAAACAGCCATGGACATCTCACCTTCCCAAGAACCCTGTGAAGGAATAGCTGTGAGCCAACCCGCAGTTGGGGACACTGATGCTCACAACTTATCCAGGGACGCAGCCAGCCAGTGGGCACTGGCATCTGGCCCAAGTCCAATGCCTTGTCTGTTCCAGCAAGCGACTGACACCCCTCCCACCCACCCCCATCCCCACGCCTAACACACACACAAAGGGAGGTGCACAAAGGCAGCAGGAGGGAAAGGGGAGGCCTGAGGATCCCAGATTTGGCTGGCTTCACAGTTTCGCTCCGGCTGGCCCTGCCTTCCTGTCCTGAGAGGTGGTTAAAGGAAGCTCTGAGGAAGAAAGGTCAGGCTGGGAGAGAAGCGGGAGCTCGCCAAAATCCACACCCTGCTCTCAGAGCGGCAGGCCGAGCCAGCTGGGGGTGCGGGCAGCAGAGATGGAGGAGCAGAAACTGGCCCCTGCTGGCCTAGGGCTCCCGGGCTGCAGGGTAGAGGGTGCTGAAACAATAGGAGATGCCAGGCAGGGGGCTGGGACACAGATCCCAGGACCTTTCTCTGCCCTGAATCCCCCTTCTCCCACTGCCAGCCACACCTTGAGCATCTTGGCCCTGCTCCCTCCCTCCTCTAAGCGCTGTCACACCTCCAGCTCAAACCAGTCATTTAGCACTTGGCTTATAACCCTGAGTTGACTTTTTATTATGTGTCTACATTTACCTTCCCAACTAGATCAGAATCTCCTCCAAGGCAGGAGCACATGTTCCCTGTTACATTTTTTTTTTTTGGGGGGGGGGAAGAGGTTATTTAGGAAGTGATCATTTGGGCAATGCTGGTGACCATTTGGGCAATGTTTATGACCAAAAAGCTGGACAATACATTACACCCACGGCCCCAGACCTCCGTGACGTCATTCTGCTTGTGACGTCACCGTCGCTGGCTACCGCGGCGCTCCGCAGCCCACAGGCAGGATGACGCAACCATCAGAGCCGGTGCGGACCTGTGCGCGCCGGAGATGTTGGCCAGGCCGGCGGCCAGAGGCGCCCGGAGAGGGCGAGGAGGGACGGGCAGAGACGCCCCAACCGGGTGGCGTCCGCAGCGCCCGGACTGGCCCCGCCTCCGCGATGACGGACGCGGGTCAGCCAATCCGGGCCAGCCGCGGGGAAGCGCAGCCTATCAGCGGCCGCGGCTCGGCCGGCGCTTCCGCGTTGGTCCGTGAGCCCCCGGCGCGAGCCCGCGGGGGAGGGGACCGAGGCCCAGGCAACGCCCCGCGGGCGCCCCCCGCGTCACCCCCCTGGTCACTCTGCACCGGGCGTAGCGGGTCTGCGGGCCGCCGCCGCCGCCTCCCGGGGGACCCCATGGCCTCGGAAGGCCTGGCGGGGGAGCTGGAAGCCGTGCTGGCGGGGCAGGGGCTGCGGGTGCAGAGCTGGGACTCGGAGCCGGCCGGGGAGCTGCGGGCGCCCGCGCTGCTGCGGAGGAACGTCTGCTACGTGGTGCTGGCCGTGTTCCTCAACGAGCAGGTGAGCGTCCGCCCGCCCGCGCCCGCCGCCTGGGCCCGGAGCGCGCAGCCTGCCCCGTGGGGACCGAGGACCTACCGGCAGGAGCCAGCGCTTGTTTGTGGGTGGCGCTTCCCCGTGTTGCAAAGCACTGTCATTCTGACCCCTGAACCTTGTGCTCCGAACTCTGAACCCTGCGACTGTCAGATTGTCAGACGCACCGAGGAGCGTGTCTGTTTCACCCCACTAGGCCTCAGTGCCCAATGGGGAGTGCTGTCTCATTCCTCTTCCTTTTCCCACAAGGTAGCTAGCCCAGGCTGGCGGAGGGGGCTCTCTCTAAGACTGTTCACTTCTGCAGAGACCTCCTCTGGGTCCCACCGGCAGCAACGGCACAACCTGTGCTTGCATTCAGACCTTGCTCCTGTGGGATGCTCTTTTTGGTGCTGATCTAGTACAAATTCCCATGCAAAAGCTAGAAGGGCCCAAGGCCTTAGGTAGGAGTTATATGGGGGTGTCAGTGGGGTCATGTTTCAAAGCCTAGACTTATGTGTGAGGACAGGCCACAGCAGTTTGCAAACCAAGAGGGGAGGGGAGAGAGACAGGAACATATGCAGACAGTGCAGGACACATGGCAACCCCCACTGTGGGGTCTGAACCCCAGTCCCTTAAGCAGCTCCCGGGAATCTCAGCCCCTTTCTGCAACGGAAGTCCGATTGCAAAAGGATAAATTGCAGAGAGAGACAGCTGTCGCTGGCAACCACTCAAGGGCCATTCCCTAGGAAAGCTCAACGGTTTGAATGTGTCCTCTAGTAAGGGGGTCCTGAGTGATCGTGTTTAAGATATGATCTGGCTGTAACCAGTTTGGCTCAGTGGATAGAGCGTCAGCCTGCGGACTGAAGGGTCCCAGGTTCCATTCCGGTCAAGGGCATATACCTAGGTTGCGGGCACATCCCCAGTGGGGAGGTGTGCAGGAGGCAGCTGATCGATGTTTCTCTCTCATCGATGTTTCTAGCTCTTTGCATCTCTCCCTTCCTCTCTGTGAAAAGTCAATAAAATATATTTAAAAGAAAAAAAAAAGATATGATCTGGCCCCAGGGCAAGGGAAGGCTGCTGGCTGTGCCCCTCCTCTGGCAATCCCAGCCTGGCGGTGTGAGGTGAGGATTTTCTCTCTCCCCTCAGGATGAGGTGCTCATGATCCAGGAGGCCAAGAAAGAGTGCTATGGGGCGTGGTACCTGCCCGCGGGGAGAATGGAGCCTGGGGAGACCATCGTGGAGGCCCTGCAGCGGGAGGTGAAGGAGGAGGCCGGGCTGCTCTGTGAGCCCCTGACACTGCTGTGCGTGGAGGAGCGGGGCCCCGCCTGGATCCGCTTCGCGTTCCTGGCTCAGCCCACAGGTACTGGCACGGCACACCTGCTGGCAGCGTGGGCAAGGGGCAGTGGGTAGCTTTCCCCCTGCTCGTCCTCGGGTGAGAGCAGCCCCTGTTCTGGCTGCTACAAGCCTGGCATCTCCAGGTTCTCCGGCCTCAGAGTCAGGGTTAGAGCGCCTCGGCGGCTGTTGGCTTTGCCAGGCCTCGCGCTTCTCTCAGCACAGACCCTTTCCCCCTCCCCTCCCCCCAGGTGGAGTTCTCAAGACTTCCAAGGAGGCAGACGCAGAGTCCCTGCAGGCGTGCTGGTACCCACGGACCTCCCTGGCCACTCCTCTGCGAGCCCAGGACATCCTGGCCCTGGTTGAACTGGCTGCCCAGTACCACCACCGGGCCAGGCACCCTCGCATTCTGCCCCAGGAGCTTCCCTGCAGCCTGGTGTGCCAGCGGCTCGTGGCCACCTTTACCAGCGTGGCCACCCAGACCGTGTGGGTGTTGGTGGGCACGGTGGGGGCGCCTCACTTGCCCATCACGGCCTGTGGCTTCACCCCGATGGAGCAGAGGGGTGGCCTCCACATGGCCATCCTGCGGCTGCTGCAGGACTGTCTGACTCTGCACCACTTGGCCGTGGAGACCAAGGGGCTGCTGGGACTGCAGCACCTGGGCAGAGGCCACACGGACGGCATCTGCCTGAACGTGCTGGTGACCGTGGCTTTCCGGAACCCAGGGACCCACAACGAGCCCCCCGAGGTTCGGGGTGAGAACTTTGTTTGGAGGAAGGTGGTGGAGGGAGACCTGCAAAGCCAGCTCTTCCAGAGGCTTCAGGAATCATCTGTTGTCCCAGTCAACGGATAGAAAGGGGCCGGAGTAGACACGGAGCTGCTGTCTGTGCTCCCTCCACCGTGGTTTCGCCTCCCTCTTGGGGAGGCAGGAGGTTGGCAATCAGGGATCCCGTTGTGTTGGGAGCAGGATAGGTCTCCTGCTTCTCAGGGAGGGCTTCCATCTCTCCTTACCACGAGCAGGCCCCTACACGGCACCGGAAGGGACAGTGCCTTTAACCAAGCAAGGAGTCCAGAGCTCGAGGACTCGGTTTCCAGGAGGAACAATGAGGGCACTGCTCCCTAAGGGGATATGGGAACGATCTGAACCCCAGACAGCATCTTCTCTTCTACAGCAGGTTCTCGGCCGCTTAGGATATGGGGGAGGTCACTCCAAGGACTGTGCCCTTTGCTGAGTAAACAGATTGCTTACTTTGCCTTCCTGCCTAAATGTGTCTCTGGGGAGGAAGTGAGCAGGAAGGGGAGACTGCCCTCAGAGGAGAAGCTCCTCCCCTTGTCCCACTGAGGCCTCGCCAGACCGCAGGCTGCCACGGCAGGGGCCAGCCTGGGAGCTGGGAGCAGGGAGCAGGGAGCAGGCAGGCTTCCTGCTGTCCACCTCGGCCTGTCTCGGGCCCACTGAGGGCCTCTTCGTCTTGCCTGCCAGGTGGGACGTGACCACATCCCCCCAAGTCTCGAGCAGTGAGATTGCCAGGGAAGCTTCGGGTAGGCGAGGAGAGCTGCCCGGGCCTGGATTTCCTTCTTGGGCTGATCCCTCCCCAGTCGCTCTGCAGCCGGGCGCCTGGCTCTTGCCTCTGCCTTTTTTATAACTTCAGCCCAAACCAAACCCAAATCCTCTCATTTCCCCTTAGCCCAACCGAATCATCGTAGAAATTGTTTAAAGAAAAGGACTTGACTAAAATGTAAAGGAAAACTAAAAAAAAAAAAACCACTGTGTGCTCCTCACTGCATCTGAAGTCTAGATCTCCGATTCCGAGCTGGGAAACGCTTGGTTGGGCTTCCCTGCTGACGTCACCACCTTCTGGCCCTGAATGAAGGACCGGGGGACCCCCCCAGCTGCTGCCTGTCTGTCCTGGCCACATCTTGTCTCCCTTTCTGGCCTGTGGGGCTGTCTGTGGTAGGAGTCCTCCTGTCCATCCGGGGATAAATATCTCCTAAGGTGGAGCAGAACCCGTTCCCTCTCGCTCACTTCTCCCAGTGTCTGAGGGACCCCCCCAGTCCATCTCCACGGCAAAGGGCCATGGTATCTGCGCCCACTATTTAGCCTATGGCAGTTCCCAGCTGTGGGTGCCCATTCAAATCACCTGGAGAGCTTTAAAAACAACCCGCCGATGTATCTCACGGCGGGTCGGGCAGGGGCACTGGCGTTTTAAAAAGCCGCCCTAGTGATTCTAACACGCACCGAGGCGAGAAGCACTGGCCAGCCCTCTCGGTCCTCGGCTTGCCCTGCCCGGCACATTCTCGGTGACTTCCCTCAGAGGCTCCACACTCAGGGACACGCTTTTTAAAGCAGCAGGCCCTGCTTTTCACAAAAGCAGCCATACAGCTGACAACCTGAGCACCCAACGTGAGGCTTGCACGCAGAAGCTGCAGATGGCCCGCTCCCCCAGGGTGTCTCTGGGGCTGGCCAGCCCTCAGTTGTGGGCAAACCGGGCAGAAATAGTGTTGCCTGGCCAAGAGCCGCTGTTCCTGGCAGGCGCCGAGGAACGTCAGAGTTGCCCTGCCAGAGCCTGTCTGTTTACCGCCAACCCCTCCACTCCGGCGCTCAAAAAGGAACTTAATTTGTCTTCCTTGGGGAGGAAGATGGGCCCAAATTAGCAGCGGAGCCCTGGGCAGAAAAGACGCGAAGGGCGGAGGAGAACAGGGCAGCTGTGTCCACGCAACCACACCATTTATTGCCGCGGTGGCCGGGGGCACACCGTGAGGATGCCGCAGTGCATCGAGGAGGGGCGTGCCTGTGACATTTTCACAGAGTCCAGACCCAGTCTGCCCACCGAGCTCGCTCCCATCCCACACCCACGCCCACGCCCGTGTGCGCAGCGCAGGCACGCACACGCCCCGTGTCCTTCGGCACAGCAGGTCAGTCCTCCCCAGCCGGGAGGAATGTGGGAGAGGTAGAGGTCACCGAGTTTCCTCCTCTTTCATGTCACCTCCTGGCAACCCGCGGCTGGCTTCCAGAGAGGCATGGGCAGGAAAAGGAAGCAGAAGGGGCTCTGGCCTGCTCCTCCTTGCCCAGGAGCGAAGCCAGCGGCTGCAGTCCTGCTGTGAGGTAATGCCTGGCGCCGCCTGTGTGTTCCTGCAGGTCGAGACAGATTCGGGCCGGGAGGGGTGGCGGCCCCAGCCTCCGAGGGCACGCAGGGAGAATACCGGGGCCCCTGCCCCTCCCTGCCAGGCCTAGGGGCCTGCAGGCAGGTGGGCATCGTGGCCTCGTCTGTACCCTGAGCTCCCTCGCTCCCCTGGGAGGGCATTCCATCGAGAACGCGGTGGGCCGGGCCCGGCCCCCCCCAGGCTCCAGCCCCTCTGCCCAGGTGCTGCGGACCTGCCGAGACGGGTTCAGAAGGCGCCAGAGAAACCAGCTGGAGCCGGAGCCTGGCACCGGCCCCCGGCTCCCCGGGCCCTCTCCCGCCCTGGCGGAGTTGCATCAAGGCTCTCATTAGCGGCTGCCCCCGCCTGGGCGCGGAGCATGCTTTGGCCTCTTGCCACGAGGCGGTTGGGGATTTTGCAACAAGTCTCCGGGAGGGCCAGGCCAGAGGAGGGGGCTCCCCCTGCCAGCCGCTGCCCCTTCCATCAGGGTTAAGTCAAGAAGGCAGGAGAGAAAAAAAAAAAAAAAAAGTCAAGTCTTAGCAGAATCTATGGTACCTAGTGCGACCGAGTCTGGGCCCCCTTGCCCTCGTCTGTCTGACCCACAGTCCTGACCGGCCCTCAGCTCACACTCCTTGTGCCCACGGGACTGAATCCCAGGTCTTGGCCTCGGCCACACTTGGCCTGTAGAGGCAGGTGACGGGCACAGGACTCGGGAGCGTCTGGGTTCCGACACTCCCCTGGCCGTCACCCAGCTCCCCCGGGGAGACACTGTGCCGCCCGGGAAGCTGCCTCTTGTTCCTGGGCTCTGGTGCCTGGGAGACCCACTTCCTGAAGCCCAGCCTGGTGTAGCCAACGAGGCAAGGTCTCCTTGAGGTGACCTGGGAGCCGAAGCCCAGGCCTCCCCAGAGGCAGAGGCCCCCGGACACAGAGGAGACAGAGCCAGGCCCCTGCCCCGGGCGAAGGGTGGCTGCGGCTGTGCCAGGCGGGAGGGGAGGCAGCTCTGGGCAGAGGTGAGAACAGGAGTCTCCCCTCCCGTCATGCTCCCGGCTCAGACGTGTCCTTCCGGGGTTGGGGGGAGGTGCAGGTGAGGACCCTGTGGGGGGAACTTGACGAAAGCAATGGCAGCCAGCTCCTTGCAGAATTCCTCCAGCACCACCACGCCCTGGAGGAGGGTCTGGTGGTCCAGCCTGAGGGGAGAGCACAGAGTCATGGCTGGGAGGTCGCGGGTATGTGCCCCCCGCGTGACCTCCGAGGGTCCCTAAGGCATAACCCAGTGGCAGATCCGAGTGAGAACAGAGCTCAGCAGCGGGCCCTTTTTCAGGGACTAAGGACTGAGACCCGTGCGACCCCCTTACCCCCCACCCCAAGCACCTGCCCTCCCACCCAGGGCTCTGTCCCAGGCACCCACTTCTCTCGGTTACTTACTGCTCCCCAGGAATATGACCCATCAGCTGCTTGCGCACCAGGAGCAGCTTGCCTGGGAACTGGGGTACCCTCTGAATTCTCTGCATCAAGTCCCCAATCACCTAGAGAGGAACAAGAGGACCAAGGTGGGGGCCAGTGACGCGCAAGCGAGGTCCCATGGCTCTGCTGCCCCGCGGCAGACGGCAGGGTGGTCGGTACCCGTGCTCTCCCCTTGGCACTGACCGGGGTCCCCACCTCTGAGCTCCCAAGCCCCTGCCCCGTCCCCTCCCTCCCTGCCCACCACGGACACTCTCCCTGGCCTCCTTACCCGGACGAGCACAGAGAACAGGCTCCTGCAGCCAGGGGCCAGGCTGATGTAGGGGTCCAGGAGGTACTCGTGGATAAGCGGGTGGGGGAAGAGGGCGAGCCGGGACAGGACTGAGGTCACTTGCAGGTTCAGGCTGTAAGGCTGCAGGGAACATGGTGGGCAAACCCGGGGCTGTCAGGGGGGTGGGTGGTGAGCATTTCTGCACTCCCCCAGGAAAGGCGCCTGGCCAGTGTGAGCGTGTGCGGGGGTGGGAGGCTCACATGATGTGTGTGTGTCATGGATCCCCGGGGCGGAGGGCCGGAGCATGTTAGGGCGTGTGGAGCAGAGGCGAGACGGGGCTTCCCGCCTGGGGAAAGGGGGGGGAGAGGGGACCGTGGAGCCGAAGAACCGAAGACGACTCGACCCCCTGCTCCTCCGAAGGACTCCAGGGGCACCCACCTGGGGTGCCACCGTGGGCCCCGCCCTCCGGCTGGGGCCCGGCCCTGCTGGCTACCTGTTCCAAAATCCGGGACATGCGGTCAAACAGCATCCGGAGGAAGTGCCCCTCGAAGAAGGGCCGCTCCGGCTCCTGGGGGTCCAGCGGCGTGAGGGCCAGGGGCCAGCCCCAGGGACCGACTCGGGAGCTGCACTCCTGGAACTGGAGCAGGAGGGGGAGCTGAGAGGAGGCCCGGGGTCAGGGGCCCCGGCACGCAGTGGGCCACACGGGGAGGTGGACTCGGGACTCGTGGCTGGAGCTGGGGGGGCCCTGGCGGAGGCCACAGAGGGGGGAGCCTCTGAGGGGCGAGGAGTGGGCCCTGGTGGAGGCCTCGGCGCTCACCAGTGTGTAAGCATCGTGGACGTAGGTGTCGTATCCCGTCTCCTCCAGGAAGGCGGAGGTCTTGGCTTCCTCGGGAACCAGGCAGAGGAAGCTGAGAGACAAGGACCCTCGGTGTGTGGGGGGCGCACCCTGCCCCCCCCCCCGGGTGCCACGCTCACCCAGCTCCGGGCTGCACCCCTCAGAGTCATGGCCAAAGACGGAGCCAACCCACGTGGCTCAGACTTCCCGACCTGCCCCTACCTGTTGACGATCTCGGTTACTGCCGTTTTGCCGTCCGAGTTGGTGGCGGGGGCCGGGTGGGGCTTGGCAGAGGGCTGGAAGCCGGCGTCCAGGAGGCCGTCTGTGAAGTAGGGGTCCTCCTCGAGGTCTCTGTGGCCGGGGTACACGTGCATGGCACCGAGGAACCAACGAAAGACAGAGCGTGGGGTGCCGAGGGCTGGGGCGGGGCCGGGGGCTCACTCACAGATTGTCCTCGTAGCTCTCGGGCTCCTGGGAGCCCCGGGCGGCGTACAGGCGGCCCTCCAGGTGGCACAGGACGAGGCTGCGGATGATGTGCTCGTG